AACAGTGGGTTCGTGTGATGTTTCATCCATACCCACAAGTGGTCTGTACCCCACAAGTGGAGACATTAACAGGGCAAATAATGGTGGAGCAGAAAACCTTATAGGGCATCCTAACACAGGATTCGCTCTCCCACGGTTAAAACAGCACAATTAGTAAATTTTCTTGTATGAATAAAATAAATAATCACCGAAAACATTTAAGTTATGATGTGAACTCCTTGAGTTTATAATCATACTCTTTGCTAAAAGTTCTATACTTTATATTTCAATGATGACATATGTTATAAATTGATATTGTCATACTCTCTTATGTTAAATAATTTGCTCTGTTTTAAAGCATAATAAAACCAAGTATCTAAATTGGTATTGTCTTTTCTTGTATCAATTTATTATGCTTTAAGTTTTGTGAAGCATTCTATTGCTTCTTCAGTTAAAGGAAATGAGGAATCGACCAATGGTTTTATTTTTGCTGAGAAATTATGAATCCATTTTGAATAATGGGCGAATAGGCCAAGAGTTCTCTTAAGTGTGGCTGTATCGGACGGAATAGGAAGACTCAAAAGCGGTTCGAGGCGTGTTTTGTCAGGTTGTATCGTATTGTTATGAATATAATAGCCAAGTAGATTGATAGAATCAGATTCAAACACGCATTTGTTCTTATTTAAGGTAAGATTGTATTTCTTTGCAGCTTCCATGAACCTTTTCAGATTGATGTCGTGTTCTCGCTTGTCTTTTCCGCAGACAGTAACATCATCTAAGTAAGCATATGTACCTTTTAGTTTTTCCGTACGAATGATATAGTGAAGAGTTCTTTGAAAAGCAGCGACACCATTGGTAACACCAAACGGAATCCGTGTGAACTGGTAAAGATTACCACAGGCTTCAAATGCGGTGTAGATTTTCTCCTTCGGAAGGATAGGTACCTGATGATATGCACTTTTAAGATCTATCTGACTAAATACATTATACCTAGATACGGAAGCTACTATAAATTCAATACTCGGAAGAGGGTATGCATCTAGATCCGTAAATCTATTTATAGTCTGTGAATAGTCTATTACTAGACGTTTTCGGTGATGTCCACCTCCTGCAACCAGGACTTGCGCTCTCCATGGGGAGACGCTAGGTTCTATAACTTTGTCTTTTAGGAGATTAGCGATTTCATTTGATATGAATGTTTGATCTTCTTCAGAGTGACGTCTAGATCGGATGGCGATAGGTTTGATGGATGGCGAAAGGTTAGTAAACACTGATACAGGCGGCACAGAAGCTTCCAGGACGTTGCAGATTTTCAATGGATCCTTTTCACCACCGAACTGTAATTCAAGAGAAGAATGTGTCCTTAGGATATCATGTCCTATGATCACGTCAGCACATAAGCTATTTATGATAAACAATGGCTGTTGTTTATAAACGTTATCTCCAATCTGGATAGTAACGTGACATAGACCATTGACGTGTGATACATTATGTAGTGAAGCTAGGGTTACAGCTTGATTGCAATATTTTCTTTTAAGTTTCATTAGCTCTACTAGGCTATTGTCAATAAAACTAATGGAGCTTCCGGTATCAACTAGGGCGTCAGCTTTGTGATTATTGATAGTGATGGAAATTGTTGCCTTACGTAAGCTAGAAGGAGCAGCAGCGCATATGGAGAGTAGTAAGCTAGACGGAGAAGCTTCTGGTGTATCTTCTGTGGTTACAACGTTAACGATCGGTTGTTTTTTATCAGCGCTTCGACAGACATTCGCAAAATGTCCTTTTTTTTGACAAAACTGACACTGTGCATTATATGCAGGGCATTTTATTCTTTGGTGCACGGTCCCACCACAGAAAAAGCATCTCCTTCTTGAAGATGTGCCAGAGCGTGAGGTTGTAGCCGTTAAATTCGGCGTAGTGTTCGTCATAACGTTTAGAGACGGTGCAGTGTTAGATTGTAGAACTAAGGACGTGTTTTCGGCAGTCTCTAGTGAGATAGCGAGATTCAGTGTCTGTGGCAGTGACAACTCAGATTTTTCAAGTAAACGTTCGCGGATTCTTTGGGATGATAATCCCGCAATAAATGCACCACGTATTGATTCGTTCTGATGTTCCTCCGCTGTTACAGCTTTGTAGTGACAATCGTATGCAAGGGATGTCAGAGTTCGACAATACTCAGCAATAGATTCACTTGCTTGTTGTTTTCTAGAGGCAAGTAGATGTCGAGCTAGTGTAATGTTTTTTCGCCTTTCGAACGTATCATTAAGCAACGTGATAGCATCACTGTACTTCGTGCATTCTCGTATTATATTGAATATAGTCGACGACACGTGATTAATAAGTACTTTTAACTTTACCTCTTCAGAGACGGGTGAAGCTTCTTCTTTAAGAAAATTTTCAAATGAGTACCGCCAATGCGCCCATTTCAAATCGGAACCGTCAGTTGAAGGAACTGTATCGAAGCGTTCCGGACGTAGGTAGCGTGACAAACCAGAAGGCGGAAGAACTTTGTCCTCAGACATTTTGAATTCGAAAAACACTTAAAGCATAATAAATTGATAATAATTATAAAGTTATTTCTATTACAATTTAATATTGTGATAGAAATAAATTAAATGTTTTTGGTGAATATAGGAGATAAAATAATAAAGCTAAGAAGATAAATAACGTGGTGATGATGTCGCTGTGTGTGAATTACGATAGGGTGATGGTTTTTAGGGTTCCGTAGTAAACAAGGAACTGTTACGTGAACTGAACCCTTATTATTTTGCCATGTACGTCTGTCCGTCCGTCCGTCTGCGGTTTCGCTCAAAAACTATTGATAATTTGCCATAATTAAAGTAATTTGTAAAAAAAGTAATTTGCTAAGTGGTAATTTGCCATGAATATATGCATCAATTACGGCGACAAAGTGGTAAAGTAAAATTACAAAAAGAAAAGTGGTACCTCCCCTACATGTAAAGTGATGATGATAATATTTTTTCTTAATTCTTGTTAGTAAAAATTCATCGTCTGGGACATTGTTGCCTTTCCCGATTTCCACTCTCTATGTGTAATAAATTTCATTCAAATCGGTTCAGTAGTTGAGGCGTGAAAAAGTAAGAGACACACATGCATGTAGAGTTACTTTCCAGTTATTAAAACTCGTAATAAGTATGGACAAACTTTTTGGAATAATACGTAGGGCCTAGGACGAAGCCCAAAGATCTTTGTAGTCATAATAAATCGCCTTTTTACCAAAAACATAGACGAGTGTTGTTGGCTGTAATCTTCCATATTTCTATATTTAAAATTCTTACCCGTATCTCCCATAGATTTATTATCTTCTGTATGTACCATAACCATAAACTTCTAAACAAGAATATCAAAAAAAGTAAATGATAAATTATTTTTGCCTGACGTGACCTATGGACATGACAGAGTAAAATTGTCGAGAAAATTTACGTGTCGAAATTCCAAATTATTTTACAAAAATTGTTTATTTCTGTCCTGTTTCCTTTGAGTATTCAGTATAATGTGAGTTTGTATTTTATTTTATATGAAATAACGTAGATAGTAAAACTCGATAAGCCTAATTCAATCGCATGTTCTTCAGCATTTTGAAGAATAATCGTGTTGCAGACAAACATACGTACTTTGACGAATCTAATATTGTTTTCTCAACGCAATGTTGCTCTGCGTACGATTTTCGCCGCAATAAACGTGACTAAAGCTTTAGTTTTGCTATTAGTAATTTTAAATATAGAAAGTTAAAAGAAGGATCATCATTTATCCTAGTCTCAATTCTTCTGTCGATCGGCGGAATATGTATTCTTCTTCCCTACTTTTTGAGCAGGCATCATCCCAACTTAATTTACATTTGAATATCTCTCTCTCTCTCTCTTCATCTCACTTACAGGAATTAGAAAAAAAATGCATTTACAAAGTTTTTGTATGAAGTAAATATACCCAAGGAGAATTTAAGTTCTCCTTGTCTTACGTTGATACGCAAAAGAAATTTTATAAAACTTCAGGCGTTATAAAAAAATTAGAGACTTAAAGAAAATTAATTAATGATTTATTGGCAAATCTAATACATCACTGGGGATCTTGTTAAAGTACTGTATACCTTGACCCATGAAAGAACCTAATTTCATATCATGTTAGCATTTAGAAAATAGATGAAATTTCGTTTTCGGAGGAATAGAAGAGGCCTTCACGCGTCATGTTAATCGTCCGAGTTGTAACTCTAAAGTCCTAACAGACAATGCAATTGTGACAAATTTCTCCAGTTAATTTCAAATAAAGTTTTAAATTAAGCGAAGAAATGTGATGGATTTCTATAACCTGACTTGCTGTTGTTTGTATCACGTACCTGTTACTTAAGGTCTCACAGTATACCACGAATATTATCGTCTAGCAGGTCATCACCTAACAACGAGGACTGGCAGGGCTGTTTCAGGCCTGACCTCTGCTACTCCGTGCTGAAATTTCTCAAGCTATCTGTAAGACCTTTTTATTTATACGTAACCGCGTAAGGCCGGTAAACAATTAGCCTCGTGGATTATTTGAAGATCAAAGTAGACCCGATTGGGATCTAATACCTGAACTATGTTATAAAGACGAAATATTCGAGTGTTTGTTTACGTACGGGAAGCATCATACACGAGTCATATGGGCTGTAATTAAAGCGGGCAAAATTGCGGGAAAACAGGTAGAAGATAATAAAGTACAAATGTACTTGTCAGCTAGGCGGTCCACATAAACCAGTAAAATTTTAAATGTGGTCTGGAAATTTGGAACATTTGAATTGTAGCCTAATAATAAATAATTGAAGTTATCTGAAAAGTGCGGAGTTTAACGCAATCGATGTACAATTGTAAGGGTTAAGCAACTTTTGTAGTTACCCATCATCAGATGGGTGGTGATCTACTCTTGTGATTTTTTTTTTCTTATCTTCGGCTCAACATGAGAGATATGAACCAAAAATTATGCTTTTTTTTTTTTCTAGCACACCCCGACTGCACCAAAATTGATTTAATATGAAGCATGACAATGGAGGGATGGTGGCGGTGGTTCAAGGGTTGGACGACGCGGGGCTGGTCGTCACATTGATGGGTCGTCGAACTAACGCATGCGCCAAAGCTAATGGTAGAAATTTTTCATTAATTTTATTTGTTTATTGTTTTTGCGTAAAACTAAAATTGTTCTATACTTCTGTTTCAAAACTTAACGTGCGAATGCTTTGCTTTTGATAAGACACATACCTACTGTATGGTTTTGTTCTTCTTCTTTATCGACATCAAAATGGCACCTATTTTACGTGTGGAGAGAAAGCAGAACCTGAGTTGCTGTGTCTACTGGCTCCATGCATCCTCTGCACAAGGTCTGTCAATGACACCTACTTTAGAAAGGTGTCTGTTAAAATTGCCGTGACCAGTAATAGCACCTGTTACAAGGCGCAACTGTGAGCGTCTTCTATAAGTAAGCGTTGGGCTGAGTAATGCATGTTATGGTTATCGAATATATTCATTTTATTTAGCTAAATGGTCGGAGCTAAAGTAAAAAAAAATATTTCGCTGTTAATAAACAGAACACATAAAGCTAAATTTTATTTTTTTGGGTCTTTACATGTAAATATTTGGTTATCAAAAAAATTAGTTTGGGCCACCCACGTATGTCGGCGCCGTGACAAGCGTAGAAAATAAATATTGGTAGACCACCTGCCCTATGGTCCGACAAACTAAAAGTGGCTGCGGGATCATTCTTTAAGAACGAAACAGAAAATAGAGCTCTATGGAGACACAGTGGAGAGGAGTATGCCCAATGGTGGGCGAATATGCGCTAAAGATATTTTAGTTATGCTTTGTTGAATGTGATGTGCATATTTATCTATCCCGACGCACGCTCGTGCTGTGCTGCAATGTTAATTCTGAATAACTTGTCTAGTATAGGATGGTGGGGTCAGGGTGGGAAATGGCTCGAATATGCTGAAATTTGAAAGAATACGAGTTTTATCATGTACCGAACGCTTTAATTGACGAATAGGCTGTTTCTACATTAAATGGAATCGTTCGGTAATAAGTCTTTGAAGATGATTGAACCAATTCCACCCAATTACAGGTGGCGTCACACATGCAAAGTCTTCAATTGAAACACGCGCAGCCATCCTTCCCACTACCAACACAGCTGCTCAAGTGCTCGACGATCGTTACACCAGTAGCTACAAAGTAAGACCAACTCACACCAAGTAGGATGGCACGAAGCATGTTTAAAGTGACAACCAGAGAGAAAAAACAAGCTATGCTGACTTTCGTTTTTAGTTTTTGGCGTAGTTTTTGAATATACAGCGTGTTTGGTAATACCTGTATAATCCCGAATACGGCACATACGGTGTGATGAATAGAACCCAGAAAAATGATCACTAAGTCTGAAACCCAGCACATGACCTAGATATTCAGCTTTTTTTTTTCGAAGTAAAACTGTACGCTGACAACCCTAAAAACAGCTGTTGTGTTGTATTTGGTCATCGACTCCATGTGCCGAACTAGTTTAAAAAATAACAGAAGTTAAATAAAAATATGCATCCGAGAGTAACTTATTATTTCCAAACAAAGAAAAAGTTAGTAGTAAATGACTTTTAACCATAAATAAACACTAATCTTGTGATTGACGGTGTTTCAAAAACTATTATTAAGAAAACTTCTCTAATAATACAGTCAAAATAAAAAAGAAATTGCAAATACTTTGATTGAAGTTCAATATCTGCACCATTGCTCACATTAGTCTATGCAAGAAGGAGCGACAGAGACATAAAATCGACGACGATGTGTATTGAGAAACTCGGGTTTCTGATGTGTCAGTAAGGTTCTGTAGATTATTTGCTTTGAAGTTTTGTTATTTTTTTCATAAAGCCGTGTTATTTTCACGAAACAATAAAATACGGACTTATACAATGATATTAATAATCTAAGTATCTCGCTTATTCTTAGTTTAAATGATAATTAAATAAAGGTTAGTTGTAATGGAAAGGTCTAATAATAAATAATATTTCTTTTCTTTTCTAATTTAATCAATAATTTTTTTATACCTTATAATTTTGTTAATGACTTGGTCTTAAATTAGGTAACCACTTTTAATATTATGGCCTTTTTTTCTTTTGTAACCGTGAAAAGCGTAAATAAAATTGTAATAATAAATAAATAGCCTAATTATCAATTTCGTCAGTAAAAAATAGTATGATAAGTTACTTTGAAATTTCATTGTTTAATTCAATAAAAAAAATAACGATTTTTTTGTTAGGTAGGTTACGTAATACAGAATTTGATGACGCGGAACCCTAAATCGGTGCACTTTTGATTTAGGTACATTGGTGTTCGAATTGCAATAATAATAACCTATGTAGTTTTGGTCATCGCGTCAGTCGCGTCCGTGACTTTCATCGGCGTACTTGTGAGTTTTCAGAATTTAGAAGGTCAACTTACGTTTTCGTTCTTTCGGGACTTTTGGTTTGTTTTTCATTCTCGTTCTGTTTACCTGTGTATTATGTTTGTGTGCGGTCAGTGCAATTAATTCGTACTCAAATGCCTAATATTACGAGATAATAATGTGTGGCGGTGCTTGTGACGGTAATCTTGCTGCGGCTCGGCGGCTTTATGACGAGCGCCACGTGTCAGGAAGATCTGAAAACCATCGACGTCTTCCTTCTTATCGGTGATTCGCGGCACTTGTGAATTGGTTACATACAACTGGTTCAATCCATAGTGTGCCACAGGTAGGCCGGCCCAACACCTATTCCATCGAGACAGAGGATATGATTTTACGTCGAGAGTAACACGACACGATCTGTATCGAGTCGAATGGAGATGTGTGTTTTATGCGGTGGCCGGCATCTATGCCGGGTCTACCCTGGACTGATAAAGTGGAGGTGAAGTGTAGGTAATGTTGCCAAGTGAAAGCTGAAAGAGTGATTAGAACGCTGTAGGTATGTACCTATTTAATCTTAAATTGTTTTAATTACAAGTAAACTCATACGTAGTCGAGTGCGCGCGTTGGCGACATCAAAATGTATTCTAGGAAACGAGAGAGTGAGGGGTAATGAGAGAGAGAGAGAGAGAGAAAGAGCGAGTGCGCCGGGACGGCACGTATAAGCATACAGGGTTGTAGCATAGTAATTGAAAACAAATTGTTCAAATATTTGTATGAGAATATCAATTTACGTGAAATTGTTTTTTGACATATCAATTGTGTTCTTTGTGCAAGGTTGTATGGCCATGTTTCGGGATTATACAGGTATTACCAAACACGCTGTATTATGTGGAAAACCACCCGGGAATGTTAGATCTTATACTGCCAACTCGGTGGTTGGCATATCATTAATTTTTCTATTGATTTCAGGTGGCACACTGCAATGTTACTCCGACGTCTCCACCACCTAACTCTTCAGAGTTTCTTAAACAAAGGAATGAGATCAACCCGAGTGAGTGATCGTGTTAATATTACTAATATTTATTGCAAACAAAAATATTAAAGTATAAATAAAATGAATAAAAGTGCCCAATATGACTAACTCCGTTACCGATTGCTTCGCACGCTGTTTTCGAAATGTTGACATCTTTGAAGTCCCAGATCGATTCTCGGTCGACTAAATGTAGAAAAACAGACCAAGAGGTCTGGTTGTTGTGGTGCTTTCGTTATCTCAGACAACACAATGAAGGTTTTTATGTCAATCATAGTTAATACCCAATCATTACTTTGTACATATAAAACGCCAACTTTATTGTTTGTTTGACTCGGCGAATAACTTATCGCCATCATACTGGATGGAAAGGACAGGCCCACTGGGAACAACGGCTTAACGTGCCTTTCGGAGCACGGGAGAGATTTCATGATCATAAAATTTCGTTCATCCATCCTTTGACTGATCTCTGCAAAAGTTGCTTAAAGCAACTTGACACATATTTGATACATCTTTCAGATCAAGGCAATTTCGAAATAGGTACCCGTGAAAATGTCAGCATGAATGCTGGCCCTATTAAAATTAATTTTCAACAAAGAAATGGCTCGAGTCCAGACAGAATTAACTACTGTATTTATTTTCTTTTTATAAAAAACTAGCTTTCCACCTGCGGCTTCACCCTTTTCATGGGCCCTAGCGAACTGTGAAATCACGTTTATTTTTAGTACCTACAAAATAAACTTAATTTTTGGCGCTTTATACATAGGGAGAGTCGGTTATATCGTACCACCATTTAAATAGTACCACCTCCGGATTTCGCAGTAATTGAGTAAACTTTATTGCACTAGTAATACTAAACAATGCCCCCGCGCTGCCTACCGCCAACCGGCAAGTGGCAAAGTTGCAAATGACGTCTGCCGAAATATTTTTTTTAATTAATTTTTCGTGTTGATTCGTAAGGAAATAAGTGGCGTTAAAGGTAAGATAAACTACACAGTTAGCATTATTTTGTCACAGATCTATTGTAGATTGTTATTAACTTTGAGGTTAGGTTGTGATCTTTTGTTATACCAAAAATTGTCGAGTTCGCTAAGTCGTTACCACTAGTAGTTCGCCAAATCGTACCGGTACGATTTAGTATTCTAATTTTCAGTACATACAAAACGAAAGCGATTTTTATTATCTGATAAAGCATTTGAAAATTAATGAATTTTTATTTCATTTTAGATAACAGATCCTAACACCAAACGAAAATATTACCAGTGGAGTGATAAAGATTAATAAAAAGCTCTTACAGCATATGAAAAGAAGGAGATGGGCTTAAATAGTATATCCAAGACATTTTCCATTCCGAAACTACCAATTTTAAGACAAGAAAAGAAATAAGATTGCAATTGAGAACAAAATCCAAAAATGGAGACCTCTCATTTTTAATCAAGAGATTGAAGATAAGTTAGCACAGCATATCCTTGATCTATAAAAACATATGTTTGGGTTAACGATAAACGATATTCGGCATCTGGCGTACGAAATTGCAGAAATTCACAATATTCCGAATAATTTTAACAAAGAAAAACGTGCAGCTGATAAGGGATGGTTTTATAAATTTATGGCAAGATACCCAGAGCTTAGTGTTAAACAACCAGAAAACACGTCACTAAATAGAATAAAAGGATTCAACAAAGAAAATTATTACAATTTTTTTGCTTTGTTGGAAAATATTGTCGATGAAAATGGCATTACGCACTAACATTTTCAATGTTGACGAAAGTGGATCCACGGTCCCCCGTCCCCGCCGGCGTTGCTTCCATCCCTCTCCTTAGAGAGGGTACCGGATGCGGTGCTGGGGGGGCCGGGGGGGGGACGCGGCTTCTTGTTCCTGGTGGGCAGCCAAATTCCCGTGCCTCGGATCTTTCCGTGCGGACCGGACGACGGGCCTCTGGTGGCGGGAGCACGACAGTGTTCCCGTACTCGAGGTCATGAATCCGTGAAGGTTACCTTCTCGCCTTGCAACCCTGCTGGTTACGATCGGCAGGGAGGCTCGGAGAGCTGGTAGTAAGGAAAACCGAGGAGTCGGCCGGCGTACGCTGGTGAGGGAATTTTCCATCATGCTCTCTGGAAGTGGGGCCGTCGGGGCCGGACTGCTCCACACACCGTTCGGTGTGTGGAGTGATCGGGCCTCGGCGGGGTCGCTATCAGAGCGCGACTAAGGAACGGAATACCGGTGACTGGTTCGGTGCACGCTGGGCTGGACATTGGTATCCGGGGCTATCGGGGTGAGGGATTCACGAGGGTTCAACCCGTGTGAATTCCCTCTTTTAGACGAGCTAGGGTAGGAGATGCTCAATTGCGCATCTCTTGCCTTTGACAGGGGGCAAGTCTGGCGGGTTAGCGGGCTCGCCAGGCATTGCACGCTCCTTGTCCTGTCTGGGGTTGGACTCGAATGTTCCTGAGCCCTTCCCTAACCCGAGACGGGACCTGCCCTGTTAAGGGGTGGGTTGAGCGGGGACGGCATGCGCGGGATGTGGTCCCGTTGGGGACCGTTACCGCGCGCTGATCTCCCGCAGTGAGGAACATCGCTGAGCTTTAGTGGGTAGGCCCCTGCTCTTTGACCAGCCCCATTCTGGGGTTGGTCCGCAGGGGAGAGTCCCACATAACCCGTGGAGCTCGCGCAAAAAAAAAAGTATGCGGAAAAAAAGTATGCGGAACGCATTTCTCAGCGACAAAAAAAAAAAGTGTATCCACAAGAACAAGAAAAGCTCAAAAAATCGTAGAGCTAAATTGAAAGAAACAAGTCGATTCAGCTACAAGTGGAGAACGTGGAATAAATACTACTGCGGTATGCTTTGCTAGCATATCCGGCCAGTTTGTACCGCCAATGTTAATTTTCAAGCGGATGCGACAAAACCCCGAATTGGCAAATGGCGCTCTTATTGGCAGCATTGTCACTGTATCCGAAACCGATTATATCAACTCGTCTCTTTTCATTGAATGGCTGAAACACTTTATCAAAATAGAAAACAAAGTAAATGGAAAACAAAGTACTTCTTCCTCTCAATGGCCACACAACCCACTCAAAAAACTAGGAATCTTTATATTTAGCGAAATCTCATGGAATTATTATGTTACAACTTCCAAGACATACGACAAATCGACACCAACCTCTCGACGTTTCATTTTTTAAATCTTTAAGTTCATATTATATCCAATATTTAAGGACTAATGCTGGATAATGCATAACGCAATATCAAGTAGCTAAATTGTTTGCCGAAGCTTACGAAAGGGCAGTAGTAATAGGAAATATTGTTAGTGTGTTCAAGGCAAAGTTTTGCCTTTAAACAGATACGTCTCTCCTGAACACATGTTTGAGACAGCTGATAATTTACTTAATGCTAATTTGAGCAATGAAAGTGTATCATTGTTGCAGAATGAAACGTACGATAACGAACTGAAAACAAACGAAAAACCGGACGATGACAACAAAGAGAACAGAAATTTGATTTCTACAGCTTTAGTGCAGGAAAAAAGTCAAGAGCGGCAAGAATATAGCGTTGAAGTTAACATACATGAGATTTCTACCCTAGCTGCCATACATGTGCAACCTTCTACATCAAAAATAAATACTCAATTGGACACTACACTACAAATAGACTAAACACTAAAAATTTTGTCGCCATAGCCTAAAAATAGATTAAAGAAAAAGGCAACCATAGAAAAAGCTGTAGAAATCACATCAAGTCCTTATAAAAATGAATTTCAATAATAGCAATCGAAAATAAAACTAAAAAAATTAAATATTAGTAAACCTAAGAAAAACCAAAAACTTAGCAAAGAAAATAAGATACCAACTGCTACCAAAAGAAAGAACAAAACTTGTAAAAAGATCACCTTCTACTAGTACTAGTGACAACAGCAATGAGTAAATTGCCAAGTGCAATCTATCTTATTATGATTAGGCAGGTCCAAAAGTAGAATGGATCCAATGTATTTGCTGCCGTAGGTGGAATCATGAGACATGTACCTTTAATCCTGATATTTGTGATGGATGTCTCCAATAAATATTTTCCCTTTCAATTAATACCAAAATAATTATTTAGTTTTTTATTTTATATTTTAGTAATCATGTTGTATTATTAAGAACTGATATGTTTTTATAAACAGTCCAATACGTACCTAATTTAAAATTAGAATTTAATTTTGTTGTTTGAGAAAATATTTTTTTACTTTATTTCGTTAATAACAAAAGCATAGCTAATACTATACTTGTTTAATTGATCTCGTGTTGTATTAATCGTTAATAAATAGTTGTTGCTTGGCAATTGGCATAAAGTTTAACTTAGATGAGAGAATGTTCGTTTTAATATTACATTCGAATATATTTGCAAGTCAAATATAAGTTTATTGAGTTTGTTTTGCCGATTTTACATTTTAGTATTCATGTTAATTTTTATTAATACGTGATATGTTCATTTATGTGGCTAAATATGTAATTTACTGAAGAAATTATTTGATCTTTTAATGAACATTCGATTTACACAACTGGGATACGATTTAAATACTAGTGGCACAATTAAACTAACTCGTTGGTTAAGTCGTACCGAAGGCAATCCTTCGCGAAAAGTACTTTTAAGTATGTATGTGGTAACTCTATTAAATATTTATACATTAAATATTTATGCTTAAGTAATAAGTGGTACAATATAATCTATCTTATCCCCTAAATACATGTGATATATCACTCCACTAGATGATATAGTCATCTTGGCAAGATCGATGGATCACATCAGTACAATGCTCAGCGACCTGAGTATCGTTTCTAAACAGGTGGGTCTTAAAATGAACATGAACAAGACGAAAATCATGTCGAATGTCCATGTTGCACCCGTACCGGTGGTCATTGGAACTGATACTCTCGAAGTTGTCGATCACTACGTGTACCTTGGACAGACAATCCAGTTAGGTAGATCCAATTTCGACAAAGAGGTCGCTCGAAGAATCCAACTCGGCTGGGCAGCGTTCGGGAAGCTACGCGATATATTCACGTCCAAATTACCACAGTGCCTAAAGACGAAGGTGTATAACCAGTGTGTGTTGCCAGTGATGACCTATGGCACTGAAACGTGGTTCTTAACTGCTGGCCTCTAAGAGAAGCTCAGAGTCGCTCAGCGAGGCATGGAGAGAGCTATGTTAGGGGTTTCTTTGCGCGATAGGATCCGAAACGTGGATATTCGCCAAAGAACTAGAGTGACCGACATAGCTCGCAAAGTTTGTAAGCTGAAGTGGCAGTGGGCAGGCCGCATCGCTCGACGATTACCGATGTGGACGAAAGGTTCTCGAGTGGAGACCTCGAACCGGAAGACGCAGCGTGGGTCGACCCCCGACTAGATGGACGGACGACATCGTCCGAGTCGCGGGCGGCCACTGGATGCAGCTGGCGCAATGTCGTCCGTCGTGGCGTTCAAAGGGGGAGGCCTATGTTCAGCAGTGGACGTCTTCCAGCTGATGATGATGATGATGATATCACTCCACTCCCTCTCCACCCCTAGAGATATTTCGTAACTCGAACCTTAACGAACCTCCTCCCCCTTCTTTCGAGGCTCACGTGATTAATGGACGGCCCCTAGCCCAGTAATCCGGGCTTAAAATTATCCGTATACCTTATTTCATCAAAATCCGTTCAGTAGTGTTTAAGTGACAGAGTAACATAAGTACATTCACATACATCCATACATCCACAGAAACTTTCGCATCTTGCTTGATTCTCAAGATATCATCGCTGATATTATTTTGCATAAAATAAATAACACAACACTTAACATTTATACGTAGGATATTTTTTTATAATTTTCATATGTTTTGTATTCTTTTTAGGATTATCAAATGTGCAGTGTTCTAAAGCAACAGAGGCATTCGTTAACTCCTTACGAAAATACCCGAACGTTTCACCAGAAAGACAACAATCCTCGGATTTTATTGAACGTCTCCTAGCCTATACCCAAGCCAAAAATTGTGAGTTAAAAAAAATATATGATTTATTAGAAACTGGGTCGCGGAAGAACATTCTTTAAAACGGGATTGTTCCGGTAAATTCGGGGCAGGTGGCAACCCAGAGTTTGACCCACCGACGATAGATTCGACTTATTTAAGTTTTACTGTGCAATAATAAATTTCAATATTACAGTTTCCAAAAGTTCCTACCATTCGAAGATGATACGGAAGATGCGCAACAAAATCGTCACCGAAGCAAAAAAAGATGGCGTCAAGTCGGTCAAATCGTCAAAGAGTGTTCAAACGAACACGCGTTTGCGAGTCAGTACGAAAGAGAGGTAGTAATGACTATAAGAGAACCGGAGTGAAGATAACACATGTCTTATTGCCGCGACTTTGCCTACGTAAATTATAGCTTACTAACTGTCTAGCGAGTTCGCATGCGCATGTTATAGCCTTTTTTTTTCGGAACCTATTCGATGCAAATAAACAAACATACAAACAATCAAATCTTTCCTCTTTATAATGTCGTCCGCGTATGATATAGCTACCCGTAGTTGAAAGAATTTTTAAAGTCTTCCAGTAGTTTCGGAAACTGTACGACGCAACAGTCATCTAGCTTATTATATTAGAACAATTATAATGCATTCACAATGCTATCCACGTTGTCTCTGGCACTCTGAAACTCGAACCCATGGTCTTTAGCAATCCGTATGACTACTCTAACCACTGAACTACCCACGACCTAACAGGACAGAAAAAATATTTTTTTAAAGCAGTTGTTACTTTTTCGATACTACAGAGCAAATTTTTATCAATGTTCAGGCAATCCACCCAAATAGCCGAATAAATATTGGAAACAAAAAATATATTAATTTCTGTGACACGATAAGTTAGCGTTATTAAAATCCTATGATTTTGACCAATCGTATCTTTATCATAATCCTACAACATATATTCCATCATAAATACCACATCTAAATCTAGGAGGAGTATAAAAGTTTATCAAAATTAAGATCTGGCAGATGTAGAGGGTGACTTCAATTTGCACTATCATACGTAGTGTTGCTTGTTTGTCTTTTACAAGCAACACCACAGAAAGTGCACTCAGGAGCTATTTTTTCATTGTACCATACACACAGCAGAATACCATTCTCACATAACATTATCAGCCTGTACATGTCCCCGCAGCTTGAACACAGGTCTACCATAATGTATGTCATATAGGGAGAAGGCAACATAACACACCAGCGGACCTAGTGCGGATTGGTGAGTGTTAGTGACTGCAGATGTAGCTGGGACCAACGACTCAATGTTCCTTCCGAAGTGAGTAGGAACCGGATATAATAAAATCGTTAGCAATTTTATGTCATTGCTAAAACATCCACATAGTAGACCGGATGCTCTATCCAATGCGCTATGCTATGCAGCTCCGCCATCATACTATACTCATCAGATAGGTATTACAAATCACACACAAAGTACCTTTCTGATCTTGAACCAGCTCGACCAACCGCGCCTTTTGTCCCCATAAATATCCCATTAATAAAACAAAAGTGAGCGCTCAGGATTAATTCCTATTCCTACAAGGTACAAGGACGTCCACATCAGCACGACCTACAATTATTTGGCGAGCCCTCGCCATTACAGGTCTAGGGTGACGGATGTTCGCTACCTGGATGATGTCACCAAGTGCTTGAGAAACACCCTGAGGATGATCCGCAATGATCAGGCACAGGTAAGTGTTATTGTTTATTTATTAACCAATACAAGCATGGTACAAAAGGAGGACTTAATGCTAACAGCATTTTATCCCAGTCAACCTTTAAGAAAATTGTCAAATGGATGTTATCCTAGTGAAATTCATAACTGTCTATTAAACGGGGCTTATCTTTTGTGATTAATAAAAATGTTTGCTGCCCACTTAGCTTATATGACTAATCAATGTTTTGAGTGTTATCATAGTAAAATTTAAAACTGTATATGACTCATGGCTTAGCCCATATGACCAACCAACGTTTTGTGTTATCCCAGTAAAAATTATAACTTCTATAACCTGTGGCTTAGCCCGTGTGATCAACTAACGTACTTAAGTTGCCTATAGTTTGAGTGTGATATTTGCTTACGCAATATTTCACTGGCCAATATAATCCAGAGACTATTTATCATTGATAAGACTGATGCGGAGTAGAGTCACCCCCACGTATAGGTAATAAAGCTCGTAGGCCATTTTTCAGGTTTGTCCTAATATAGAAAGCCGTTACAGCCGTCACAGGAGGGACCATCATCATGATTATATGGAACCCCGAACGGTAAGGTCCCATTTAAAATGTGTTTAACAATTGTAACAGAACAGGGTACGAATATAGATAATATGTGTAAAGAGAAAATCGCCAGAAAAGTTTCAAATGTCATACAACGCGTGGCACATAAGTTGAAACAAAATGGCGATTGCGCAGTAAATTATTTTTAGTTCTCAATCGAGGTGCGACAGACACGCTGAAAATCGCCATTTTGGTTCAACTTACATGCCGGACATAATACAGTCATGTGACAAAAATTTCATTTTAATAGTTTCTGTTTTTTGCTACTTCCTTATATTGAATGTTATTTCAAGGGATACGATAATTTTAATACTTACAAATTTGGTTGAACCGATCTATGGTTTGCTAAAAGTTAATCGGAGAACTTTATTACAAATCTTCATCGATACACTAATTTGGATCTCGATACATGTTGCTAGTGTTCTAATTTTAAAATTTTATACATATATCGATGTAAGTGTTAATATACATTAATGGTATTGTATCAAGCTGGAGTCTTTGGACACACTGTGTGTAGTGTAATTTACTGTAATTTGTGTGTTAAATAGATGATTCATTTATTCATTAATTTGATATCTCGCGCTTGAATCATAAAGATGACCGTAATATCATATAACTGGTGGCAGCAAGCGACTTCGTCCGCGTTTTCCATTATTTCTTCGCTCCTAATAGTTGCAGTGTGATGTTATATAGCCTAAAGCTTTCCTCGATAAATGTCTATTGAACACAAAAATATTTTTTCAATTCGAACCAGTAGTTCCTGAGATTAGCGTGTTCAAACAAACAAACAAATAAAACCTTTCAGCTTTTTAATATTAAAATAGATTAACCAAAATGAAATTACAAACCCCTATGTATAGTTCCGAGTTTTTTTTATTTTATTTTTCATCCTATTTTACAGAGTACCGATTCTAATACCACGGAAGCTCAAGGTATGATTACAGTCCATGAAAATAACAATTTATACTATTAATATATGTATAATAACATCCGAGTAAGCAGTACCTAATTAAAAATACGAAATTACATCACATCTGGAGGGTACTGAGTCGGTCAGAACATGCAATTACAAATACTTTTCAATAGAAATAAAAACGAGCAAAAAATCATGTTTGTCATATGGAAGCCCCCTTAAATATTTATATTATTTTGTTTTTTTGTATTTGTTGTTGAAGCGGCAACAAAAACACATCATCTGTCTAACTATTACCGTTAACCCTAAAAATTTTTTAAGGCAATTACCATACACAAACATGATTTTTTGCTCGTTTTCGTTATAATTTTGTAATTCCAACTTTTATCTGTTACAAGCTATTACATAAATGTATAGGTTCTTGTTTTTGAAAATATCTTATTTAGTGTTATTTCTTTGTATAAAAATAGTACTGATTTTGGTCTGAACGCCCTTATCACCGTGCCATTACTTCATGTAAAAAATTGTTTATATATAAATATATTAAATCACTATAGAAATAGAATAGGGAGAACGGGCCAAAACCCACCACGCAGCAGCATTAGTGGGTGTTAACGACTGTATCACTGCAGATGCAGCCAGCACGGCTTCACGTGCCTCCCGGAGGAGATGGAGATCCTACAACTGGCTCTTGGGAAAGTTGCTTAACTTCCGCATCGCAAATCAAACGCGCTAACTGCGCCGTCGATCACCTCAATTATGTGCGAGTACATTGATTGGCCTGTCAATTTCGACTTTTAGCACAACAAGTTTACATTGACAAATTATTCTTTACAGCACCTGTGCCAATGATATCAAGAAGTGTATCTTGCCAGGCACCTTTGGAAGCAATGCACGGTGTTAGTATTTACTTTTATCCCATCTAAGGGTGCCAGGAACCAAGTGGATATTTTAAAAAAATTTCAGGCATTTTTCTTAAGAATATTTTTCAGTATAACATTGTAAATGCAAAATTGAACAAATATAATAAAAAATATTAATTAGACGCAACGCTTACTCTTGCTTTGGTTCACAGACATACCAACCGACGTGTTCATTCCTGCCGCAGATATGTTTTTTCTGTCACAAACCTCTTCCGTGCAATTGTAAAATATCTTCGGAAGAAAATTTTCACCGCAAATTAGAAGAAATTGTTTCATCTTGGCTAAGAGAGATACCTGTATCTTATGACGATAACCCTTGCAACAAAGCCGTAAGGGAAAGTATGGTAATGGATTTGATAAAAAAAATGAAAAGCTTAAATTACGATGAACATTTCGAAAATAATGCGAAGAATGAAATACTTGAATGTGTCAAGAGACTGCCGATGTGGCGCCCGAGTGCTATACGAGATCGAAATATATTTGAAATGCAAATCATAGACAATTTAATAAATAAAATACATAGTGTAAATGATAAAGAAATGTGTAAGAAAGAAATTGCAAAATGGTTGGACAATATTTCTTTATGGTCTGTGGATAGCCAAGGTCAAACAGTCGATAGAAATTTCTCAAAAAATCTAATGTTAGAAAAATTGGCAGATTTATTTGCAAATGGTTCGTCGAAGGAAACAATGAAAACTGATATTTTTCAAATTCTGAATGAATTTCCTATCAAGACAGAAGGAGATAAAACTACATTTATTGATGACCTTGCTCAAATGTTATCTAATAAACAACAAAGTTTGGTAAAGGATGGTAGAAGAGATAGTGATTATATACGTAATAAATATGAGAAACAAATTGAGGACTGGCTCCAAGATATACCAGGTTTTTCTAAGGGTAGCAGTCTAAATGTCAAAGAAAATAGGATGCAAGTGGAGTCATTAATAAAGAATCTTCAGCAATTAGAAAAACAAGGAATTAACACCAAGGAAATTCGTGATGAAATGCAAAGTCAAATCAATGATTGGCTTGAACGAAATGCAGGTGGTCTTGATCCTCGCACAAAAAATAAATTAACTGATAGATTGTTACAAAATTTAATTAACACGTCAAAAACTGCTTCAAAAAGAGCTACACCTAAGTACTATAGAAATACATTAGTCCCGCAAATTTTAGACTGGTTAGAAGACATATCAGAGATATCAGGCAGTGATTCTGAAAATAAAAAAACAGCTGAAAATTTAGCCATTAAACTTGAAGGGCTAACTGACGAAAGTGACATACAAAATCAAATTTCAAATTGGCTAAGCAGTCTTTCGAAAAGCAAAGGAAATCGGCTAGATGCTATAACTCAAAATAACCTAATAAAAAATCTTTCCAATAAAATAAATACAAGGCTCTGTACCAAAAACGACGAAGTTCTCCAAAATAATATATTGGACGTTCTTGGAGAAATCCACGTCTTAGACATATTTTCTAATGAAAAGAAAAAATTAGCCTATCAATTAACAAAATCTATGCATGAAGGTGCTAATGAACAAGTTATTGAGAATGATATTAAAGACTGGGTGTCAAATGTTTCTAAATCTATTGGCACCCAACTGACTCCTAAAGATGAAGAAAATTTAACAAATAAATTATTATCTCTTACAAAGACTTATCCAAAGCAAAGAAGACGATGGAGCGATCAAGAACATATGAAAAATAACATCAACCAACAAATTTCTCAAATCTTTGAAAACAGTGGAGTAAGCCTTGACAATGACAGCAAAAAGAAAATACAGAACAAAATTTTAGATTGCATTGCAGATAAAAACCAATATTTTGATAGTGATGACGTTTTTATGAAAATAGTTGATATTCTAGAAGAGGATGCTGACTTACCAACTAGAGAAGCCAAAAAAATTGCTAATGATATAATAAATAAAAGCAAATATGTAAACATTTCTCGTCGCATTAGCATTTCACAGGAGACAGACACATCTAATATTTTAGCTGACCAAGAAATGCGTGGATATCCTTATCCTGTACCAAATGAGACTCAGATTTGCAAATCTCCAATAAAAAAGCAAATATTTATTGATAGTGCTCTAAATGAGATTTTAGATTTCACCGCAGAATTGACTGGAGATAACAGTCTACGTTCTACTAAAGAATGGAAAGAGGCTGCAGTCGAATTGGCAGAACGTGTTAGTGATATATTATTTGACTCAAACAGCACACCTGCATATAAAAGAGATTTACTTAATGAAGAAGTACTACGATATTTTCAAAATTTACATATAGAAACTGATGAAACACAAAATGATCAAGTGAGAAAACATGTGGATCGATTACAAAACTTAGCTTATACAACATCGACACCGCGGACTTCATTTATAGAAAAAACACATTCATTTTTTCACCCACATCAAAAAAGTCAAAACTTTTCATTATCCACGATAAATGAAAATGCATCTTTGAGCCAATATAAAAAACCACCTACAGCAGAAGAAAAGCAATATATGTCTCAACTTGAACACAAAATTGAGGACTGGTTAGAAACTTTACCCATTAACTTTGGTGCTAGTAATGACAATGACTTTAAAAAAACTATGCTCAAAGATTTGGCTTCTGATATACTAGATAGGCAGAAGTACTTACAGTTAAATCCTATGACCAAAACTTCAGATGAAGAAGAGCTGGAACATTTAAAATACCAAGTGTTTCGATGGCTTAATAAGTTACCAGATATTAAGGAGCTTATGCCATCGATCGCTAAAACAGATGAATTAATGGAATTTATGAAATCAGTTCCTGTCCCTTGTCTCGTCCAAAATAAAAATCCCTACGAAAGTAACCAAAATTCCAATTTCAGTTCAATTCATGATGAAATATCGAACTGGATAGAAGCAGTACCATCTCATGTTTTCAAATTGAAAGACAAAAATCATCAAAAAGAAATGATAAAAGAATTGGCAAACGAGATTGGTGAATATCAAATGAATTGCACTTTAACAGAAACTGCTTTAGACGATCTTATACTCAGGTGGTTACAAAAAAATTTAAACTGCAGAAAACAGTCGTTGGAAAACAAATCGGAGACCTTGAAATCTGCATTGCTCAATAAAGATATAGTGTCATTTGTACGAGATGACCAGGAAGAAAATTTTCAAGCAGCTATTGGCGAGTGGTTTAAATCTTTACCTTTAAAATCAAGAACTTCAACAGATATAAAACAAATAGAAAACGTTAAAGAAAATTTAATGAAAAGCCTGAAAAAAATTCACCAACAGGATTCTCCAAGTTCTGCAAACTATGATAAAAAAATTAAAGAAGAAATTGAGAAACATTTACAACTCCTTCCTGTATCATCTATCGAACAAAAAAATATAGCTCTTGTTCAACAAAAAGTCACTGAATTATTAGGCAACTTGAAACAGATTCGTACAGAAACTGAGTCAAAAAGGCCGTCATTAAGCAATACTGCCCTTAAAAGTGTAATTGATGATTGGTCATCTAATTTACCATTTAAACCAGGAAAATCCAGCAATGATATTAAAAAAGATGTTGATGAATTTATGTCTACTATAAAATCAATGTTTAAAAACAATGATGTCAATAGTTTTAATGTTGAATTACAAAATCAAGTTGAAAAATTATTGAAAAAAATACCTTTACAAATGAATTTGGTCAATGAAGAACATAAACAACGTCTCATGAATAAATTATTGGAATTGATGCGATCTAATACAAATGTCAGTTTTGGAAAAACTACAGACATCCTCTACGATGACATTGAAGACTGGTTTAATAACCTTCCTATATCTAATGGTAATACTCCTAATGAAATAGAAAAACATGAAACGTTGAAACGAAATATTGTTAGTAAACTTTTACAAAAAATTAAAGATCTTAATATGAAACCTGATATATTTAATGATAATACTCTATACGAAGACTTGTTAAACGATGAAATAGATGACCTTCTTTCTACATTACCACAAACTCCACAATTGCTAGATCAAAAGGAGTCAATAAAAGACAATATAACTAAAAAGGTTAAGCAAGCGAAGCAAAAAACTGAAAGCGAATTGGCAGGATACGCTTACAAGCAACAACTTCGAGATGCTATATCAACCACTCTGCCTCAAATAGGTAACGTAGCTACGGAAGAGAAAGCACCGTTTGAAATTTTAAAAGAAACTGTAGCTGACGCTTTTATAAAGCTACATTATACTCCAAACAATGAGTTGAAAAATAAATATAAACAAGAAATTGGCAAAGCAATTGATCAATTTTGCAATGATTATCTGAAACTATTTCCGGCATCACCTGTGGATCCCAAGAAACTTAATCACGAATTACACACTGCTTTGCAGAAAGTCCCAAAGCCTAAAGATGATACGGTAAAATCGCAAGTAGAACAAGTACGAATAAAAGAACAAATAGATGAGTGGCTAAATGACCTACTTTTAGAAGATACATCTCATACACAGCAATTACAGAAAAATAAAATAGTTTCAATTTTAGCGAATGTATTACATGAAACAGAAAAAGAAAAAGATGTTAATCCCAATTTTAATTTCGAAAACAAAATGAGGCAAGACATCATGATGTGGATGAAAAAACTTTCATTGAAACCTGAAACAAAAAAAAATATAGATGAACACATTGATAAACTCATAAAAAAACTGAATTGTACAGAAGACAGTAGAAAATTTAGTATTTCTAATTTAGACCATACCGTAAATGCAGTGAAATCTCAATATCAGTATCATATCCCACCATCTACTTTGTCTAAAGAAGACAGAAACCATTTAGAACGTATAAGACAAAGGAGCCAAAGATCACCATGCGGTGTTTGTCCACCGACACTTCTCAGCAAGGATGCGTATGTAAATCCTATACCAATGGATGCAAGCAATCAAACTGACGTATTTCAGCAGCGTCAACCTTTATCTCCAAATATCAATATAAATGAATACAACTGGGAATCTGTAGATGATGTTTCAAGACTTTGGGAATCGAGCAATGAGCCATATCAACAAAATCGAATGGATCATCTTAGCAGGAACTACTATGACGCAGGTCAACAACAACAACCAGCTCAATATATACTACCGCAGGAACAAAATAACACATGGTCTCGGTCATCTGCACAAAGAAATTCAAATGTCAGTCCTAGAAATGCATATGAATCGTTAAAACCAAGCGTCCCAATGTCAGCTCCTTGTACGTCACAATTTCAACAGCCATGTGTGACGCCAAAAGCACCTTGTTCAGAGCCACAACCCTGTTCATCTTCACCACCTTGCACATATTTAGAACCATCATGTGTATTAAAAACAAACTCTAATAACGCTGTTCCATATTACGACAATATACAACCACCATATAATCCTCAATTTAATAATACAATTCCACAACCACAACCCTGTACAACATTACATCCTCCATGCATACCCCAACCTTCATGCGCTCCCTTACCGTGTATACCACAGCACGCCACTGGAGCTCCTGATCTTTCGACGCCCCATTTGAGGTCATTTCCTTCACAAGCCCCACCATGCCTATCTCAAAATATGACACCTGAATTCAAACAAAGGAGGTATCCGAAGAAACCTCAGATCTTTAACATTCCACCTTGTATGAAGACATGTGGTAATCAATCACTTGGACCTAAAACATCTAAGGGATCACCTGTCGATGAGTCTCTATATAACAATGAAATTGACGATATAGTTTGGGGCCTGCCGTGTGTAAGAAGAAGTAAGAGAGTTCCACTTTCAAGTATCGATATCATAAAATGTAGAAATGATGAGAAATCTAAATACCATTGCAGAGAGCATTATACACCACGTATCTGTGATCAGCGACCATGTATGACGAAAGACTTGATGCAGCGTTGTCCGAAATGTTGCGGGGTACATTGTCCTTATCCCAGCTATTTATTCTTCCGATAGTGTATTTTTGTGACTCATTGTGATTACTATTATTATTGTATTAAATTGATTTTTTCATTATTTTTTTCATGTTTTAACTACTACTTATACAAAATTTATTTTTAAAATAGACAAATTGCCAAAAAACATTTGGATTAATTTCAATAATCTTCTTCCTCTTGACGAAGATTATTTCAAACGTAGAATATAATAAATCTATGAGGGTAACACTAAAAGTCGTTCTAACCGGCCACTTGTGTATAATCAATATGATAAAAAATGTTGAACGCAGAACTCGACTAATCTATAGCTAACAAAACGGATAAATCTATGGCTACTGTTATGGATTTCATAGATTAATTATGGTTAGTATACCTAATTATAGTAAATCTATAATTATAATTGATTACGATTCCGTTCATTTGTTTTAAATTTTGGCAGCAAATTTTAGTTTTACGTCAGCATGAAATTAAAACGAGGAAATTTTCGAAAAAGTTGATAGACTCCCGTTAGCTTTTCACGATAAAGCACGTGCCACTTATCATCGATAATTTGCGGAGAGGAACGGTCTTTTATGGCGACTGAAGAAAAAATTGATGTTGTGCGACAACGCCCATCTCATCAGCAAGTGCTTCCTTCCAGAAAGGATTAAAAAATAGTTACTGCAGAGTCGTACACTAACAATTATCTGACACTTATTTTGGAAAACGACCTCGCGATTCGATCCTCCATCACAACAATGCCTCATCGCATATCACCAGGCTACTTACTTCGTTACGTCAGACGTTGATTGGGTCAGCGAAAACAGATGATAAATTTCGAGAAAAACGGTTTCATGGACTCTCAGGTTCGAAAGGCCTTCGTAGCGACATTAAGTTCGAGTGGGCAAAATGCTTTTCTCGGTGATTCCGTAGTAATGATGTAGCAAATTATTCAAAAGAAAACCCTATTTTGTTAATGATTTGCTACTTGCTCAATTTCTAATTTTCTTAAAGTTGTTAACTTTCAGTTTAACCCTCGCACAATAAAATTACAACAACTATTTTAAAACTTTTATTTCAATTTATTGAGATATTGCTAAACTGTCAATAATAAAGGACTCGACAATCACATAAAATTTTACTACAATCGGTATTACAAAATATATGAAAAAACAAATGACGAATAAACAATAAAGATTGCCCATTTTTAAAATAAATAATAAAAATATGAATAGGTATAGTCAATATAAACATCTAGGAACTGGTATAAGTGGACAACAGGGGTAGTCTAATAAATCATCACAAGCGCGTACCCTACGCCTAGGTAATCGGTCCATACAATGGCACTTATATTTAATTTTACCCCTTTTATTTTGCATTTCCCCATCCAATCGAACTTGAGTGCCTGATGAGCCTATATTTATTCTTGCAGTCGAAGGTGAAATACCTGCAGGTGGTGAAGTTGTTATACCTACTCTACTGTAGGTCGGCTGCTCCTGAATGAAATTTCCTGGTCTTAAAAAATGAACTTGATCAGCCGCGATATGTTGTGGATTGTCTTGTAAAATATTATCTGACAAAATCCTCTGATCGCTTGGATCCATGTTTCTTATCGCAAAACCAAACTCGTGACTCGGAGAACGTTCTCTTTTAGTGGTACATTCCGGAAAAGAAACTGGCCATGGATCACTTGTACTATCTCCTAAGTTGAATTGGTGGTTAGGTTGATATTCGGATGTGGTATAACTAAGCCTTTGATTTTTAGGACCGACTCTTTTTACATCATTGTTAGGAAGACTGTATGCACGCTTCCTTGGTTTAATATGCTCACGCGGATTTTGAAAATGATCCAATTCAGTTTGAAGGTTGGGATTTTGTTGTATATCAACAAGCGGTGCCATTATCTCTCCTAGATCAGGTCGCACGAATGTCGAGCTAGCTGGCATTTCTTTCTCAAATACTTCGTATCGCAATCTATTATTTTCATGTCTGTTTTTAATTCTTTTCGTAAGTTCATCTACCATAAAATTTATATTTAAGTCATTAACTTGTTTCAAGTCCGCATCTTTTTCTAAATACTTGGATATCTCATGCTTTAAATCTCTTTCTAACTCTAAAGATGGGTCTCCTAATGCATCAATCTTTTTCTCTAAGTCACGAAGTCGTTTTGCAAGAATTTCCCGTAGCCTTTTTCGTAAATGCGCATGGGTTTCATTTACAACCGGATTAACTGGTAAATCTTTATACCATTCCTCTATTTCCTCTCCCAATTGTATTTCCTCAACTTCTTCTTGCAGATCTTCTTTGTTTGGAATCGGTACATCACCTAATATTTTAAAAGCTAATTGACATAATTGAGATGGATTTATCTCATAAAATTCAATTTTATTTTGTAATTTCACATTTTCAGCTAATTCTTCAAGTCGTTTCATTAATCGCTGTCTATAAATATTAGCACGTATAGGATCTTCATCCTTATATCTTGAAGAAAGTATGTAAGCTTCTGCAGTTCTCGCGACGAAACAATGCTGTGCTTTCTCTGAATTTGAAATGAGCCTACTTCTCATCATTTGACGGTTGATTCTATTCGAAATAATTTCTCGAATATTTGGCTTATCCGTAATTGCATGAACATATTTCAACATTAATAATAAGTTATTTAATATCACACTTTTCCAACCATGTCTGATTCGCTGTAATTTCAACGTCTGTGGTAAACAATCTAACATGTCATCTATCTTTTCCTCAAATAGTAAGTCAAAAAGACAGTAGTCATTTGCTATATCAGGCTTTTCAGACAAGCTAAAAAAAGTCTTCCAAATGCCATTGTATATACCATATCTAGCTAAATTAGCCAATTGTTCTTGTTCAGTTGTAGGTGTTTCAAACGGTAGTTCATCTATTTTGCTTTTAAATATATTATCAAAATGTCCATATAATTCTTGTAAAGACAATCCCTGCGGCAGATCTCTTAATTCTCCTACTAAAGTATTACATTGATCACCTTCTACTGAAATGGCCGACATTCCTAAAGCCCCTAATTCATCAAAATTTTCACTTTGTGCTATTCTATGAGACTCTTTCAGATTACTACCTGTTTCTTTTGAACCGACAATACCAAGGGAATTAATATTTCCATTGTGACTTAAATTCATTGTATTTATATTATCTTTGACACAAGGATGATTCTTTGAACTAGAAGTATTTTCGTCATGAGGTTGATTATTTGGGAATTGGGGTTGTGAATTTTTATTCTTTCCATCAAACTGTGTGAACATGGGGACCGGTATACTACGAATTCTATCCATTAATTCAGACGCATGTTCTAAAGTTTCTTTATGCTCCTCACCCACAAGTTTATTTACCCATTTAAATATTTGATAGCGCAACTGATCTAGTTCACTATTTTCTGTCCCCTTACATGAAGGATTCAGCTCCAAATATTTTAATCTGTCCACAATATCACCTGCTAAATCATTTACGACAACTTCTCGAAATCCTCTGTCGTGTATTTGTGGTATTTTTAAATTATTCAACCACTCGTCTATTTCTTTTACTAATCGTTTCGAATACCGCTCTTGATTTGCCAATATATCTGCCTCCGTTATAGGCTTGATACTTTCATTTTGGTCATTTTGTAACTTATCTACTTTTTCATTAGAACTATTTTGTAAAGTAAACCCATAAACGGTTACATGAGGTGTAACCATATTTTTTTCATTTTCTTTATTTTCTAATTCTGATGATCTTTTCTGATTTATGAATTTGCCATTATTCAAACTAGTGTTGTACAAATCAAGTTCTTTTATATATGTTTGAAAATTATTGGCATTTTCTTGAATTATATTATATTTTTTATGTTGATGTGAAATTGTACTAAAAAAATTATGTATCTCAGAACACGATTCAATATTTAAATGAGTCAAATGAAAAATTAAATTATTTATTAATTCCATTAATTTTGTTTTCTCAACTTCATTTGCATTTTCGTACAAAGGTAACGTACTCAACCAATTTTGCAAAATGATTCCTATATGATTAAAATTTGTATGATTTTGTGTATTTTCAAGATTTGTTTTCCAGCTCAGAACGGCATGTACTAACTTTGATATACTTTGGTCGGTAAAATTTGCTTCTTGATTAAAATAAGAATGTATTTTTGTTGCCCAGTCAGAAACAATTTTCTTCATTTGAATTATCAAATCTTCTTTTAATAAGTCGGTCGATTTATTTTGCATATTTGACAATTTTACTGCCAAATCATGAATAAATTCATTTCGTTCTTGAATATAAAACAACTCCTTCTTTTCGTCAAACAAGCATATATCCAACCAATCATCGATTATATCTTCATAAAAACGAACTTGTTTTCTTTCTTGCTTAGGATCTATATTAAATAAGCCATAGTCTTGATGTATTATCTTAGGTCTCTCCAATTCACTTCGATGAAGTAACCATTGTAAATCAAGTTTATTTTTACTTTCGGTTTGTAGTATTCTTGAAACTTTAATATTCTGCAAACGTTTCATGAGTTCAGATGCACGATCAATAATTTCTTCATTAACTTCTACTGCAACTTTATTCATCCATTTGAAAATTTGATATTTGAGATACTGCACCTCGTTTTCATGGGAACTACTAGGATTCATTTCTAGATATTTATATCTATCTAAAATATCTTCCGCTAAATTATTTATAACTAGATTATGTAATCTTTTATCAGGAAACATTACTTCTGAAAAGGATTCTTTGAACCAAATCTCTACCTGTTGCATTATTTGTTGTTTAAAGTTATTATTGTTATTATCTTTATTCGTATTTTTTTCTATATTTACCATTCCTTTGAGTTTATTATGAAATACATAGTACGTTTCCGGATATGGGATATTTACCTGCGGAATTATATCGTCGTCAGGATTATTTTTATATTTACAGCCACATAAGTCATTTACAAAGTACTTAATTAATTTATTACTAAGGTGTTTGGCTTGATTATCATTTAGTCCACCAACATGAATCGCATAATAATGTATATTTTTTTGAATGTTTGGAATTGTATCATGAGTTAAGTCGGTATCTGTTAAAATCTTAATAAGTTTTTCTTCGAGTAAAAGAAAATTCTTAAGGTCTATAGCTACATTTATCTTTTGTAAAATATGCGACAAGTGTCTTGAGATTAAATATTTTAATGGTTTTAATTTCTCCGTTGTATCGTATTCGCTATCCACAAACTGAGTACATTTGGAAGTACTATTAATTCCAAATATGTAATCTACCAGAGAAGAAGCGAATTCGTCTATAGAATTATTTCTCTGTATTGGGACTTCATCTAGTAAATCTTTGACCATATTCTTAAAGACTGATCTGTTATTATCTGTATCATAATGAATATTATCTAAGAAAGGTTCTAAGTGGCTTACCATAAAATTTAAAATATCATCTCGTTCGATTGACCTATTCAGAAAATCCTTTTTCCCAATAGGTATATTATTTAACCATTTATCTACGACCCTTTTCAAATAATGCTTATTTTTATCTGACTTTTGGATTTCGATTCTGTATATTCTTATACCATTCTTTATCCTTTCACTTCTTAGACACAGTTTTTTAAGTTTATTTATGATATTCTCAGATAATTGTGCCATTTTTTCTTCATCATATTTGGAGAATAAATTTGATTTTTGTTTTAAGTATCTCTGAATTTTTTCTCTAATTTTTTCTTCACCTCCTGGTTTTGCTAGTTTCTGAAGTAATCTCTTCATTCTATCATTCCAAAACTTTGAAGAAACTTCATCACTGTAAACATTCCTCATCCATTCAATTAATTCATTAGAAACTTCTTTTCTTACACGGATGTCATCTTGTGATTTGATTTTCCTATTATTGAAACAGGAACTTTTTTTAGGTTTCAAATTAATTGAACTAAAAGAAGTCTGAACAGAATTTAATATCCTTGAACAAAATTCTATTTCAATTGAATCTTCGTAACCATTTATCTTAACCTGAAAATAAAACTAACATTATTTGCTGGTTAAAATTGAAACTGCTAATGTGATAAATAACAATACAAGGACTACTTACATCTTCACATAGATTTGCGGTGTCATAATTTTTTGTGAGCCTTGGAGCTGTAACGGAAATAAAGCAATAACTTTTTATACAGAAAATATTTGTAGTCAGTGCACAACATTTTATATTCTGTACGTTAGTTTTTTCTCTTATAGAATAATGCTTAAAAAATCATCAATTCTTATTACCCCCATTCATACCCACGACCTTTCTCTATACAAGCGACTGCTCTAACCATTGAACTACTCGAGATCCAACAAGACCTCTCAAGCACTTTTTACTTTCTACCTAATTACCATATCCAGAGGCTAGTGATTTATTTTCGTCTTTACATCGACAGTTTTTTTTAGTGATGTTGAATAAACATGACAATGTAAATAAATATCAAATTACCAAATTTAATTATTTATTATGAAGATTAAAAAAAAATCTTCTTCGTAAAGATGTTCTAATAACGATGCCAAAGTATAGGAAAAAAATGAGCATTAGTAATAATTTTTTCTTGTATATAATATCATAAGTTGTAATATAAACTAGCATACAAGTAATGTTGTTCATATTTCTAAATAAATTCATAAAGTAAATTATAATAGTCTTTATTCAGAAACAATGTGGTTATAATAGATGTTATATCTTTAACTTTCATTTATACGTTATTCTCATTCTGACTGTATAACAGATTACCTATAATTTGTAGAAATACGGGCAACTATACGGAAAAGGATAACATTCTAGTTCATCTATTCCAAAGTCTTCGGGAGCATAACAATGAGGTTTTCGTCTACATCGTCTCACTCTTTTAAAACAAGGACAAGATTCATCGCCATCTAATGCATTACTACTCTCATCATGCAGGTCTAGGCGTCTTTGTGCAATATTCCCCAGAGATATTTGTTGACGACGGCTATTTTTTTTATCAGGCCTCAATGGGTATTCTTGAAGTGGAATTTGATTTTGAGGTGTGGAAAATCCTTGAGGCTGGCCATAAGTTGTACTGCTGCCTTGTAGGTTTCTATTCCCAGTTGAATTAAAAACTTCATGATGTGCAGATTGCTCTGGCTGTTGATGAAAGCCTAATCTACTTGGTGTTTCTACAATAATTGGAATACGTTGATTTATATTTGATTGGGGTTGCGAAGAAACTGGTGTTAATGAATTAATACGCATTTGAGGTATACCAACTACCCTATTGGTTCCTTCAAATCCTTGCCCATATGGACTAACCGAAGAAGATGTATTGATTATATTACTTTGTTGGACAGATATATTATTTTCAGGACGCAACATCATTTGAGGTACATTATTTATTCCATTTTCATTTTCGGGAAATTCTTGTGATGCTATTAGAGGGGATTTCATTATTACTTGTTGATTATTTCGTATACAACAAGTTTTTTTCATGGGCTCCTGATTTTCGACACTGGAAGAAACTTGGTTAAGTGATTGATTTATTTTTGACATGCTCGTTATGTGATCTCGTACAATACTTTGATTAGCGGGAAGTCCTTGTGCTATTACATGATCCGGAGATTTTCTTATGCCATCCTCATAAGCGGACTGTTGTGACTGTTTACTCCAAGGATTAGGCTTTGGATGCATTATATTTGGGTAATCTTCCACTTGGAAGTTTTTATTGTCTACTGCAGGTTGATTTAATACTGGTTTAGATGCTTGACTGTCTTCAAGTGTAAAAAATTCATTAGATGGTATTTCGTAAGGAGGCCTGTTGTATCCGTACGAAAAATTACGAGGTGATGGTAATATTACCTTACTGCCGTCTTTGATATCATAACTTGATTGATCGAACAAAGCAGGGCGAAGAGGCATTTCAGAAAAGCTGGAACAAGCAGGCATTTGTAAACTGAACTCATAAAATCCCACTGAATCTAAAAAAGCTACAGATTTTCTTTTATTGCTTGTCTCTAAATCTTTGGCTTTGTTTTTGAGTCTGGTAGTTAATTCTTCGGCAATGAAATCTAAATTTATATTTGTTTCCTCCATAGGCATTTTTTCTAAAAATAATGAAATTTCATTCTTTATGATTTCTTTTCCAGAACAGTCAAATATATTCACATCTTTTTGTAATTCCAGTACTTTTTTTACTAGGGCCTGTTTAATTTTATTTTTATCTCGTTTATTCGTGTGGTCATTCCTACAAACAACTTGCAAATCTGTAAACCAATGGTCCACTTCTTGACTTACCTGTATTTCATTAGCTTCTTTTTCAATAACATCTTGAGGCATAGGCACTTTTTGTAATGCATTTAAGACATTATTTACGTATAAATTTGTATCAATATCTTTTAAATCTTGTCCATATGTCTTTTTCATATTTTCTATAAGTATATAAGCTTCTTTTATCAATTTATTTCTATATACTTCTGCTTTTGAATGATCAGTTTCCTTATAATTCACACACAGTATATAGTCATCAACTATCTTGTGTATTTGTAATACTTCGGAAATTTGGTTGTTGTTGTTAACACTGGTACCCGTTCGATTTTTTAATGGAAGATCGCGCGCTACATTCTCAACAAGTTGCTGCTTATAAGATTCAGGTGCAAATGAGCTTTTTATTTTCTCATTAGTATTTGTAGTCTTCTCTATTAAATTTACTTTGAGTAAATGCTTTTTTGCCTTAATTTCTGGTGTGTCTGGTAGGCATTTAAGCAATTCTTCCAATTCATCATCTAAAGCATCTTCATAGTAGAAAACATTATGAAATATATCCGGATCCAATTTCAGTTTGACCAAGGTTTTCCAAACACCGTTATAAATACCTTGCCTTGCTTTTTCTGCAATTTCTTGCTCTTCTGAAGATTCAGATGGTATAGGTAAATCCTTAACCCAGTTTTTTAAAAAATCATCATATTCGTCATTGAGTTGTCTCATCGAACGGCCATTATTGATTGAAGGACCTGAAGGCGATTGTTGACATTTAGACATTCGTTTGTTGAAGCTGTTAGAAATATTTGAACTGTTTATTTTTGTATTAGATATAAATCCTTTCGACGGTCTCATCTCACTTCTCGTAAAAGAGTATCTTTGAAAGTTTGCTGACTGAGAGCAATCTTTCATCATACACCCATTTGATAAACTTTCGTTTTTAAAACTATCATTAGTCTGTAATGCCTTTGGTACAGGTATACTTTGAATTCTTCTCATTAATTCGGGAGCATGATTTAAAGTCTCCATGTTGTCTTCTCCAGCAAGTTTATTTATCCATTTAAATATTTGATATTTCAAATTTTCTATTTCATCTTCATCACTTCCACGTTTCGAAACATTCAAACATAGATATTTATAGCGATCAATAATGTCACCTGCTAAATCATGTATGACAATTTGCCTTAAACGTGTATCATTAGCAGGTATATTTAATTGAGAATTCTGTAGCCATTCCTCAATTTGTTGGGTCAATTGATTCAAATACGTATCAGTAGAATCTACATTACCTTTATTACCTAAGGATTTTTGATGATCACTAATATCCGAATTAGATATATTATGATGCAATTTATTCCAAGATGTATTTTGGAGAATTATGTAATTTTTAGAATGTGTATTTATTGAAGAATCTTTAAAAGTTCTGTTTAATATGCTATTGTTAATGACCTTTTTAATTTTAGCCAATAATTGATTTGCAAAAATCCTTGCTTCATTATCGGTTGCTCTACTAGTTTCTCCGAACAATAAAACAATCTCCTCAATGACATCCATAACATTATCATCACAGATTTCCTGCATCGACTGTAAAAGTATATCGATAAGTTCTGTCTGAAAATATTTTGCACCTTGATCATCCAAAAGTAAATTATTATTACTGAAATAAGTATTAAGATGATCTGCTGTTATTTTTACTAATCCGTGTTTTGTGATCTGATTATGTTGCTTGAACACATTATAATTAGTTTTATTTTCTATATTATAAATATTATAATTCCTTCTTCCTATATAATTCGGAAATGTCATCTGTCGTATCTTTTTCATGAAGGATGTAATAACTTGATTTAAATAACTTATTTTAAGCGAATCCTGAATGTTCATTGGTATGTTTGAAATTAAGTTGAATAACTCAGCTTGCATCTCATGAGGCGTACCATGTTTTAACTTTTGGAAAATTATTCTTTGAATTCTTTTCATATCTATTACTTTTGCATCGCTTACACATTTTGATGAATTGTTTGTTGTGATAGGTAAACTTTTTATCCAGTCCTTAATAATGATATTTAACTGTTGAAGTTGAGATTTAATGAGAAATGATTGTACTGAAGTTCTGTAAACTTTAGTAAATGTGTTTAATTGTTGCGTATTATTTTTAATTATATCTGTAGAAACATCTGTGTAAAATTGAATTTCACCCCACGGGACCCAAACGGGTGTAAATTGTAACGTCTTTCCAAGTCCAGTTGTCGCCATTTTTCTATCACTAAGATTTCCTAAATTCTTCGTCAATGATTGTAACTTACAGCTCATTCTTTTCAAAATTTTTCGCCTTAGATCGCTTATTTCTGGATTATTTTTGGGTACATCCGAGATATTTTTAGTTGACTCTAACTCATTCTCAAGGTTATTATTTATTAATTTCTCTTCTAATTCGCTTTGCCTATAGAAACAGTAACTGCCATAAGTCGCGTTTCTGAAAACTGCTTGTTCTTCTGAAGTTGACATCACTTGAACTGATAGATCTTCACTTTCAACAGATGCTTGGGCATGTTTGTAGGTTAACATTGCTTTTTTGGTTTTATTGGCAACGACCTGGACTGATACTTCACCTTTGCGTTTCTGTTCATCACTTGAGGTTGACGGGGACAGGGGAACAGCTACCTAGAACAATTAAGCTCTGAAGATGTTTATGATCATAACATCCCATTGGAAGAATTGTAAAAAATATACATATTTTCCATAATCATCATAAGTTGAGAAGATCGTTGGTGCATAAGTTAGTGCGGTGTGTGATATGGAAGTTAAACACCTTTTGCCAGGGCTGATAGGTAAGCAAAAATTAAGGTATGTTAAGCCATTGTTCTCGGTTGTCCTTGTACTCGTTAACGCCCACCAATCCATGCTGGGCCCGTGTGATGGGTCAAAGCCCAATTTCCCTAATCAATTCCATCCATAGAAGGCTTGTGTCCCAATAATGGGGACATTAATAGGCTGATGATAATTATAGGTCCATGATCATGGCGTTTGCAACAGTTATGAAATTTCGTTCACTCTATAACATGGCACATGAACAAAAATATATTTCCAAATCTTACAGTCCGTCTTTCTGGTGGACTCTTTGGTACAGTAGTAACTTCTCTGGATACCATTTCAACAGCAGCTTTAACAAAAAACATTTTATTAAATCTTAGCTTTTTTACAACATCTTTGATCCAAATTTAATTGTTGATTGTACCTTGCACTTCCATATTGACCGATTTCGTCTGCTGTAAATAAAAGGTCAATATTATTATGTATTTCTATAAATAAAACAGATTTAAATAAAAATGACATTAAAATTTGTATTTTAAATGCCTATTAAATTCAGATAAATGAACAAGTGTAAATGAAAGAGTTCTAGTTAGAGTTGCCAGATGATTTGTCTGGATTATCCCGACATTTCGGGTGATGTCCAGAGACCTAAGGAAAAGGTGATAACTCGAGAAAATACAATTGATGAAACTAATATATCGCTTGACACTGGCTAAACACCCTAATAAACGTTCCGGAAAGAGGATGTATATTTCGCTTATAAATATTTTAGGTCGCAGGAAAATTCGCAACATCCCTACTAATAGCAAGTTTTGTCCAACTATTTTAGTTAGCTGTCCACTCTAGATCGATTACGTCAATCCTCAGCTTCATTTCGCGTTCTTGAATTCAGGGGTATTGTACGACCTAACTCTTTAGTCATGACTGAAGCCAAAAGATACATCTTAGCGAGGATGGCAATATTTAGTTTAATTTTGCTACACTGATATGCCTTTCGGTGGGTGAATTTGGGATAAATGACTAAGATGGTAACATTGCCATTAAATCCATAATCATGTTCTTCATCATTAGTTCATTGTTATTAAACTAAATGTCAAAATAGAAAATGAAACAAAATATCGTCATAACATCGTCAAGACGTCCGTACCCTATGGCCGGAGACTTGGATAGGGAGTCGCACTCCAGATTACACTATATATGTAGCCATGGCAAAAAAGACTATGGCCCGAATAACAAAGGTTAATTTTCCACTGCATTTAAGTGACCAGTGTAGCAGAAATCAAACCGTTAAATGATTCTAAATACCAAATGAAACCAAGGGTTCATTACAAAAAAAAAACAAAAAAATATACATACTGTTAAAAAAGGAGGAGAAGCTTTTTGCCCAAATAATGTCTGGTCATATCTTCCTCTTGCGTCGAAATAAAAAGGTTGATCACACGCCTGTAAAAATTAAATTAAAAAATTCTTAACCTATAATACAAAAGAAAATGTATAAAAAAACACCTAGTAAAACCATCATTATGCAATATATTTCAATACAATATTCTTAATCTTTGTTATTAGTTTCTTTTATACAAAATATATTTTACTTCTGCTGGACAAAGTTTAGTATGTCACGAAAAATTAAAGCAAAATATGTCCTTGCAAACGCAAAGGGAGACGGTATAATTTAAAAAACCCATAGATAATAAAACTATTCGGATAATTTTAATTCATGTGTAGACTTAACATATCGACACCTGCAAGGAAAAAATCGTAACTAATGTTTTGCTGATATTGAGTAAAAATGATAATCTTACTTAGCAAAAAATGCGGAATTTTTAACACTTATTTCCATATCTAAATTGTGTAAACTTTAAATTTTGCAGAGAGGTAAAACATCTAAAGTAGGAGTCAATTGTAGGTGAACCATTGTTTGTTTACATTAACAAAATTGTAATAGTAGATACAATGTTGTTCTTAGAAATATTTGTATATTTCGTGCACAGTTATGTCTATGTGGCGACTGATACATAGCGACATCTAATTCTTCGCAGTCACATCGCCACAACAATCGATAGCGAGAAGACTAGCATCGTCACAGCCATCGATAGAAAGACGAACTGCAAAAAGTTTCAACAGCAAGTAACGAGATGGCGCTGTACCAATACAAACATCATAAATTAATAATTACAAGACATTTAGAACAAAGAAACCTACATCGCACAGAATAAGTTTCATCACCAATTAACATAAATAGAACATCCAACCTACATCGGTTGGACCGCGGTCCCCGGGCTAACAACACCTAGCTCGGAGGGAGACAATTATCCTTTAGTCTCCCTGGCCAGTTGTCTCCATCACCACAGTTAGGGGCCTAACATTCAACATAAGGTTCCTAAATCTATAATGCCCCTTTTCACTAACTTAGAACAAGGCATAGCTTAACTAGAAACCACTAAATATTAAGAATAGCGTAAGCAGATTTGCCATTTCACCAAATCTGTAACGTTAGTTAATGCCTTACTAAGCATTTGCTTAGATAGGCAACGTTTGTCTATGATGTGCATACTTCAGTTCTTCTTCTTATTTTAATGTATGGCCTCTTTCCGTTTACACAATTCCGCCAATGAGCACCCAATTCGTCATTGTCCATATATAAAATTATCACATTACGTAAATGCCCAGCGCTAGGCGTCGCACAATACATTTCCTAACTTTAAGCGTTACTTAAAGTCGTTAGGTGGCTCCTTATCATTGGTGAAACTCATTTTCACATTGAACAATGCCGAAGAGAATGCCCAAATGGTATGTCAGATTTTGACAACTCCTAAGTTAAAAGGAAACGGGCATTAAGCTCATACAATGTTTTCACTCACGAACTCCAGTTGTACAGAGCAAGTCTTAATGTGATCAGTGACTTGATCGAGATCCAACAAAGATAAATAACCGTAGGTTACTAGATCTTACTAAGTACCCAGCGTTCTTACGTTTGCAAAGTGTCTAACCCAACGAGATTCCAGCCCTTTGGTAACCCACCACCAGTTACAAATATTGGCTTAGGTGAAATCCCTGATGTAATAATGAATAAAAAACAGTATACAGTGTAGCAGCTGCTCTCACACTTGTACAAACTTTTTATTACCAGGGTCATCATAAACTGACTCACTAAGAAGCTTGATTAATATCAAACATGGAGTTCGTAAGTGAAAACATTGTATGAGCTTAATGCCCGTTTTCATTAAACTTAGGAGTTGTCTAAATCTGACACCATACCTTTTGGGCATTCTCTTCGGCTTTGTCCAATGTGAAAATGAGTTTCACCAATGATAAGGAGCCACCTAACGACAAAATTGAAAAGCTCTTACGGTCTGTAGAATCGATGAAAGTTACACTAGAATAGGCTACTCTTCAAAGTAGTTAAACAGCACAATTCGTCAGTAAGACTTCATAACCCATTAATAGTAGTCATGGAATTTGTCAAGGCTATACGTCATCGCAGGTCAGTGTAAAATCGCGTCTATCCCATAACCATAAATCATAACCCATTAATAGTAGTCATGGAATTTGTCAAGGCTATACGTCATCGCAGGTCAGTGTAAAATCGCGTCTAATACCCGGTATTATAAGTATTTCAAATCTCCAAAATATTCACTGGGGCTCTTGAAAATGTCTTAAAAGGGCGATAAGATATTTTCAAGAGCCCCAGTATAATGGAAGAAAACACGACTAACACCCGGTTTCTGAATTGAGAATTTAAAGTTAAGTACGTCTCAAACCGTACTTAAGCCATTTCAAATGTCATTTAATGATCGGTTGATAACAGTTTGATAAATCTAAGCCTTTTTGTCATGTTAAACGTAAAAAAAAATTAAATTATAAGAATAATCAGTTGAATGTTGAACTTTTCTCAATTCAGAAACCGGCCAAATATATCAATGAAGGAAGTTGAGTAGCCTCTACTGTATAGTACTGTTGACTTGGCCCATAAAGTTGGTAATAGTAAAATCTATAAAAAAGGCTTAAAAAATCTGGCAATAGAACTAATAATAATTACAACGAACATTTCAGACGCAGAATAACATTAAATGACAGTCGATATTGTTCACCACTACATTCATCTAGGACACAAAGTAAGGCTGGTAACTAACTATCATTAAAGTAACTATCATTGGTATTTTACTAAAACATTTTACGGGCATAAAAAATAATGCAGTCAATCCGTGTATACTGCCGGTTTTTACATATGCTATGAAAACAGCTACCTTGACAAAGGATTCTGTTGGCAATCTACGAATGGAATAGAGCGCAATGGAAAAATCCTTATCATGGATAACACAAATGGAAGAATAAATAGGAGACCCATATCCGAAAGCGGATCAATGAAGCGAACAACAAAAATCGAAATAATTTGACATTTTTTTCTAGAAATATGATAGGTTTAACCATAGGTTTGAACCAAAGACTTCTAAGTATACATAGAACTGTCTTTGGCTTGAAATAGAAAATTAGGTTACAATATTTTTGAAAAGTCATCGTGTTAACTTTGTTTCAGAATATTTATTTTAGCACATTTTTTTGGAAAGAGTGCATGTTTCTTCAGACGAATTGATCGTTATTTATTAATAATTAAAATTCAATATAATATATTTGATGATATATACTTAAATTCATAATAAATATTTATTTAATTTGTAATTTTTATAGTTAATCAAAGGTTTCGGAAATTTTGTAACATAAAAGTAAAATAATTTATGGTTGTCAGGAAGTCATTAGGCTTGTAATTATTAAAATTAAATTTTGTTTCGTATTGTAACGTTAAAAAAGGCATATTTAAACAATTTACAAATTGTATCTCAGACATACAATTTGGTTCGTGAATGCAATAATTATAGTTATATGTCTGATATACAATATTATTGTATTAAGTATCTGCAAAATACTATTATTGTAACCCAGGAAAACACAAACAAAAATCATTATACATAGGTATGTATAATGATTTTTGTTTACCTAGATACATCAGATCTACCTAGATACATTCATAAAATCAAAATGGTATCATAGTATAGATCAGAGGTTCACAAATTTTTATTCTCGTAGACCATTTTAAAAAAATTACTGGTTTCGGTGGACCCCCTGTTGCTACATTTTTACCATATTCCTAAAATTCGTCCAAAATGTGAAGATTTAACGATGGAAATTGGCGTCGCGGGTTAGTTTCACGCCAACGTAGACCTCGTTGAATCCCTCGTGGACCCCTGGGGTCCACCTGGACCACTTAGGGAATCACTGGTATAGATCCTATAACATCAATTTTCAAGGCCAGCTGGTAATAAATAGGTCTTAACCGAAATTGGTATGATTTTTTAAATCTTTAACATGCTCTCCTGTAAAACGTCCAGAAATGAGTTACGATGTTTTTCCTTGCAGGTGTCTATATGAGCATAGCAAAATAAATGTAACGAAGAAGTCACACACACAAAGGTCAAATGGAATCCAATTTTGAGTACAAATTAATGTATTATGTAAATAAATAAAGTTAGGCAGTCCTTACTCTGTTAGACATATTTATGCCATATTTTAGGTCAGAATTTCTCAATCTTCTATCAGCGTAATCACGATCGTTATAGCCACTCATTGGCCTAATATCTCTTGTTGGTGATTCTTCTAAACTGCTTCTTACTTTAGTTCCAGCGTTTATATTACGATCGCAACTTTTCAGGTAACTAAAGCTTCTATGGTAACTTCGATTTGTACCGCGATCAAGAATATCTTGACTGGGTATATTGTATTCTATTCCTTGGTGTGACGGTGATGAATTGCGGCTTTGGTAACTCTTTGCTACTGAAACAAAAAAGTTTATGCATTAACGGAAGGTTATTCTGTACTTGCACTCCAAAAAACCAAATTATGACAATAAGACGCAGATTTTCTGGAATCTAAATATAATATAACAAACCGTACTAACAATGCTTGGCCTGCGTGTAGTTGATAAGCCTCTCCACCACCTCTGTCGACCTTTCTGGTGAAACATTCGGGTACTTCCTCAAAGAATTTGCGAAAGCATCAGGCTCACGAGACGGCCTCGGAGAACATACTGAACCTGACAGTGTAGAGAAGCTATTTTATTCATAATAATTAACAAATTAACAAAAGGGCAAAGTTTTATCTGTTTTAAAATTATGAACTGGTTTTGGTCATTTTAAACTTTGACTCATCATAGCTGTTAACGGTATTAATTTTGACATAATACAAAATTTTGAAAACCGTTCACGATTCAATAACTATTAGCCTGAGCGTTAATTACAAAGGTCTTTAGCCATATCATAAATTGCTCTATCTCAAAATATGCAAATGGGAACGGCAATTCTTTTTTTCAGCTACGCAATTATTCTGTGAATAATAATACCAGAAGATGAGCTTTTGTTTTTTTGAAGAAGTGACATTAAACTGAACAAGGTGTGGTATATTTATTCATTTTCATAACGTTCTAATAATTTATCTCATAAGACTGTAATCATGCATGTAAATATATGTGGTTTTAACAATAGGGATGATGACTTATTTTTGTTTGTTTGTCCGTCTGATAGAGTGTTAAAAAATATTAAACACGTACTTTTTTATTTTTGTCGTAATCATAAAATTACGGCGTTACATGAAGTCGAAATTTCGCATGACGTCACGGTAGGGTACATTTTCTACTCAACTGTGACGTAGCGAGCCCCCACTCCTCAACATTAATGCCTGTTATCTAAGCTATTTCTTGTTAATTTGAAGTAAAAAAAATACGTATCTAATATTTTTCTATTATCTGACTGACGGACTAAATAGAATTGCATTTTTTTTACCCAGTCATCATCCCTATTGTACGATATGTAAAATTTAGCGAAATCTAGAACGACTAGATCGTGCAGTTACACTTTGTTCAAACTTATTTCAGCAAATGACTAAACGTTAAGAGATATTGTTTTATAATCCAGAGTTGAATACACGACACTCCCTCCATTAGGTATTGTAATATCTAATATGTAGTATCGTAAATCCATCGTGTATTAAGATTATGGCAGAGTAATTTTGTCACCTAATACAGACTAATGATGATGCTAAAAATAATGTATCATAATGTAAATATTATTTAAAAATTAAATATTATTTAAATATATAGGATGCTATCAACAATGGCTTTTCTGGGAAGATTTTGTTTTCTTGTCATTGAAATCTTATTATAATATACCTCTATCCGGCCAGTTCATGCCTCCACGAAAAGATCCGTTGGACTTACAAGGGATATAGCTCTCGCCACTCCCATTCCCACCAACTTCGAAATTACCTTGACCTGAAAGAAATGACTTGAAGAAATACTGTGCTATAATTACAGAATTATGCACTAGAAGGATCAATGGATGGGTCTATTCTAATATATATATATATATATATATAAGAAAATACATATTTCCTGAGGCTATATAAGCGACTAGGTCATGAGGGGCTCTCCTCCATAATATCTAGTAGTAGTGGTACATGTTTACTAGATAGAACCTCAAAGGCCTTCTCACTAAACCCAGTAATACCACTAAACCCACAAGAACCGTTCATAATTCGCCAAGACAGTCACCTATAACTTGTCTACATTCTAAACTAAATTTGCAACGTGGCTGCAACAGAACAACAAAGCAACCGAAGTTATTAAATACCTACTATCAACTGGACTACAGTTCTTTGATAGAAGCATATGGTTATGGGACTTATATGTAGGGCATAAATGTTGAATTATGTTTGTGTATATTATGTACACAAGTGTAAAATTCACCTCTACAGACTTCCGCTTTTTGTGGCGGAAACTCCGTGAGCTGCACTGGCGGTGAAGTAGGACTCATTCTGCAATGAGCCATCTGAAAACATGAAAAAAAAAAATAGAAGTTGATCTGAAAGATAACGTCGTAGTAAATGTTAAGGGACACGATACGTTGATTCGGAAAGAATGATAAAACAGATATACAAAGCGAAAGTAGAAGGATGCGTAAGCCGGGTAGAGCGAGAGCGAGCATATATGAATGTCATGACAATAAAGCGAGAGGTATATATAGCCTTGCACTAGTTTTTCAGTGCCTACATTGCAAAGAATCATGTATGAAGATTGTATAAATATGAAGCGTTTTATCTTTAATGATCATCTTGTATCTTGGACAAAACCACATTAATCGTGTACCTTTGACATAAGTGACCAATATTTAATGCAGATGTCACACACGTCACATTGTCTCTATGCAAAGACTTTTGTTTAGTACTGTCTTTTCAAAGTAAAGCTGTCTCTATTGGTTTATGAATTGCGTGGTTTTTTTATTTGTATCATATTTCTCACTTTGATAATAACTACATTTAACTAACCATATTACTTTTAGCTAATAATAATAAAATTACCTTATACACGCTCGCGTATCTACCGTCTGTAGCCTGAGCCGCGGAGTTACGCCTAGCAGGTTGTTCACCATCTTGAGTATCACTTTGCTGCGATACAATATCATATTTCGAATGCACGTTCGAAGGCTGCGCCGATGCTGCGAGTAGGACAAATAAAGTCGAAGTCTAATAAAACTAAACCCTTGCTTCTCTCTTTCACTAAATCACAAGGGAAATTGCTTTAACATAAAGTTTTGTAAATACCCGCCAGTTGTTTCGCCCGCGTGGTCCTGTACTGCATCAAAATCCCTTGTGTAGTTTGAAAGATCTTAGTTTTAAAGACAATGGGAAGCTACTTTTTTCATACTATTTATAAATAATAGTAAATTCTGCTTAAAAGTATACAATAGCGAAATTTCTAATAAAATTTAGATAAGAATTAGTTGTATTATACTTTTGAAAGAACTATGACAACTTTCTCTGAAACATAATAAATAAGGGAAACTTAATCATTCGGATTCTAGATTTTTTTTAACATCCTCTGTTTATTGTGTGTTTAAGATAGATTGGACTTTAAGCAAAACAAAGAGAATAGTTCATGTTGATTTTTATTCCATACTAGATGTGGCCGTTACATTGTTCTGTCCTATTTCTCTAAAACAAAGTAACCAAATCTACGCGTCATTATTTTGCTTTGATGGACGAATAATAATTGACAGCTGGAGACCGAGTGATCTGTATGGAAAAAAATTGTCCACTTACAATGTCCTTTTATTTATTGTGTTTTTTTTTTCACTATAATGACCTTCTTTAGACTTCATTAAACACGACGAAATAGAAATCAGTCAAATCGTTTCGGCCGTTTTAGAGTTTTATTCTTAGCAACACATTTACCGATTCATTTTTATTTATACAGTAACATTCCAATATTCCTCACCACTATTCGGCATGAGAGTATACTGTTTGGTGCCATCAAGGAGGGTGACCGTCAACCCAGAGTCCTTCAAACCCCGAACCACCGCCACCATACCCTCAGCAACCTCCATGTTTTTTCAGTTCCAGATTACATTCTGGAAAAACAAGCTTTTCTACTCATGTCTCGTCAATAGTCTTATATATTGAGTACTTGGCCTAGTTATCTGGTCCAGGTAATACAAGTTTGAGTCAAGCTAACCTTTCTGTTTTTTCAATCATAACAAAAACGGAAAAAAATACTCTTTAATTGGTAGTTGGGAGACAAAATGCATCGTCTAATGCAGAGCTATGTATTCTTTGGACATGAATCTAATTCTACAGTATGTAAAGTACAAAACTGAGTAAACTCAGGTACTAGCTAAGGAATTTCTTTAGTCAATGGCAAAATTACACTCTTGAATTGGTGTACCTACATATTTTTTTATTCTGTTGTAATTTTTTCAGGCCGCCAAGTTTCGTAAGCCGTAACTAATGTAGTAATGATATACAGACCGTCGATTGATCTGCCTCTTATAATAATAATACATTTTTATTTTTTCAAACAAAGTCCATAGATTTGTTAGCAAAACGAGAACTTTAAAAAACTATGTTAATATATCTGGTAGCTCTTTTTTATTCTTAAATAAATCGATCATGTGTACCATCACCCAATGCTTCAAAATCGAATCGTCGATCGAACGAAAATCGAACATCGGTCTGCAATCACGTTCAGGAGACCGTTAGTGCCACTACGGACTCTAAACATCAATGATGCAACTCTCTTACGAATTATTGCCTAAAAATCATTAACTCTGGCTTCCGCAAACATGCGTGGTGCACTGCAGAATCGCGGATGCTTCAACAGCATCCTGAACCCATTATTATACTGAACGCGCAAGGCATTGTATGACTTTCGCTTGAACTTGACCCATAGACTGCACGAGTAAACGACTGGCAGTATCTTATCGGATCGGGATTCACATTTGAGAAAGATGGACATCCATAGCTATAACTTACGTAATAAGGAACGATTGTGTTTGCCTAAAACAAGATTGACAAAGGTACAAAAACAAGGCATATATAATAAAACTATAATGTATAATAAACTTCCCCTCAGTATCAAAAACATGAATAACGACGAAATCGAAAGAACAATTAAATTTTTTTTATTCAGCATCCCTTATACTCTTTAAATGAATTTATGTCTATGCGTTTGGATGAATATTCATTCCTACATAAAGATGGGTGAGATACGAAATTGACTAGGGGTATGTTCCGATATACACTGCGAGCACTGCGCAGTGGTCTTACTGCTGAAAAATCCGTTCCGTTATGGACTGCCAGTATACTGCTACAGTACCGTAGGGAAATTTATGACGTCATGAATTGCCGCCATATTTGTACTGTGAGCACTGGAGATTTCGAGGTGCAGTGCTCGCAGAGCTTTTGACCACGTGATCAGTCGAAACAGATAAAATAAAATACTTACGTTTATTATAAGATGGATTTGATTGATAAATAATTTTTTTATACAATTTTCCAATTTTATAATATTTTCTTTTGAAAAGAGAGAATCTTTATATTTATATTCACCTTGCATTAACAAATTTGAAAATGGCGCCAAAAATAGGATTAACAGTATACTGGACTGCGTTCCGTTTTAAAAAGTCACCAGTATAACTAGCTATAAAGGAACGGGCTTCCAGTATACTAAATTGACGTCATACTGTTCAGTGGTCGCAGTGTATATCGGAACATACCCTAGATCTCTATGGTAGATGACAAGGTATAATAATCATCAATATTTTATGACATAAAATTATATATAATCTATGTTTGTATAATCTAATTTGTGATGTTGTAATTTAATTGTAATTTAATTGACTGTGATATAATTGATTATTAAGGATCGGAAAAATAACCATTTTGACATTGTTAAGATACTTAATTTATTTGACATTCCTACTTACAATGATTTGACCTGCATGATTTAAACCTTTATTTTTAATTTAATATGCTTATTGTAAAAGACTTGCCGTGTGTAACCTTCTGAGTTATATGGCCAATAAATTATTTGATTTGATATTTGATTTGATTTTATCTCATTTCCTTTTTCTTTACAATGTATATTTATTAATCAAGAAAGAAATACATAAGCCCATCATTCCGCACTCAGATGAAATCGTTGGAAACCATTAGCTAAATTAATTTCCATTCAAAAGTTTATAATGTTCTAAATTTGAAGAAATAAATGAGAGGAAGAATTTATCGAAGAAAACTGTTCCAGCGTCATCCATAATTCTAAATAACTTTAAAAAATGACACAAATCATACAAAGGAATATACACGTTTGTATCCATTTTATCTTTATCCTAATAAGTTTTAAGATTAACAAAAATAATTGGATCTGACTATGATAGAATACGAGTATTATTATTTTGTATTTGCTATCTTAATTACAAGGGGTCCATCAACCGTCGGTTAGAGTCCGGCTTGTTACTCAGTGGCGTATTGGATGGGCGCCGCGGCCTGCGGTGATTGGTGTTAAACAACCTACGCAAGGGTCGGTCACGGGATGGGTGATCAAAAAATTATTATCTCTAGCTACTCCGTGCTTCGAAAGGCATGTTAAGTCGTTGTTGTCATGGCTGCAATTGCGGTCGTTAATACCCTCCAATCTGCATTTGGCCAGACAAGAGCGTCATGGCCCATCCTCCTTAACCATCCAAAAAGAAGGCCTGAGCCCCTGCAGTGGGGATGTAGAAGGCAGATGATGATGATCAAAATTGAGGTTAACTTAAAACTTTCGTTTACTCTTTTTTTATTTTAAGACCCGTTTATGACTAAAGAAGTGTATATTTTTTTGTTTCAATGTTGAGTATTGAGTGATCTCTACTTACATTTCTTACTGAACTTAATTCACTAGAATATCGTTAAATTACATGCGTTGTATAATTTACATAAATTTTTGATATTACAAATAAATTAGAAGGACTTTAAATTTTGATAGAAGATAAATTTCTTAAAATCTACAGATTCTTTGTCTGTTTGACAAACATTTCATTTCAGATGTCGAACTGTTTTTTTTTTCTTCTTTTCTGCTTCGTACTCTATTCTTATCATACGATTTCTTGTTCCTAGACATGCAGCAAATGTAGTCATGATGTTATTCATTATCTTTGTTTAAGATATCGGAGAATCTCAGAATAATAAATATAGCATATTAGAGAATATCTAAACTTCTTGCATAGAACTGAGATAGAAACCATGGAGTTCTGAATCTGTCGCATATAACACATTTGAATTTGCTTATAAGATTAATGAATCCACATTTACTTTGTTAATATTCGTAATTCTGAGAAAGAAATGTCGAAATGACAATCAGTCGATCATATGTGAATCGACGTCAATAACAGTCATTACCAATCTACCAAATAGCAAATGTATTTATTCTGATTTATACAGGGAAGTCTGGTTCACCGCCAACCAAAAAATGTGATTAAAGTTAAAAATACAGTTATTACAGGTACATATTTGAATAGACTAAGCGCAGTTCAATAATTCGTAGATATGTAAGTAGTTCTCTATCGCCATCCCAACACACCCCCTATAGAAGTTTCTGTTAAATAAGAGACCTCTACAGTAAAACGTTCATGTAATAGTTAGTCCTGGGTATCTCTTCTTTAATTTGACATAATTTTATTTAGTGGCTGCCGATAGACCATTCTCCCTTAATGCTTTCACCATGTATTATCACTAAGCTATAGGTAATTACCATACCTAGACTCCAGCATGCACTCTCAAGAACCAAAGAAATCGCAAAGAAAAGTATACATACCAATAAAAATCCAAACGAACGCTATAAAAAACGATGATATCGCCATCAATGCGAGTTACATTAGCATCGAAGATCTGACCAGTGAGGAGGACAGAAGAAGAGCTAGAGAGAGAGCCAAGAACACGGAAGTGAGATATCTGGAGAGTATTAGGAACAAAATTAAATCTTTTTATGTGAGTATCTGATTTGAACCTAAAACTTAAACTTGGAAAAAACAGAAACATCTACTGTAAGAGACAATTACTGGTGAATGGTGAATCTACATTTACGCTGAGCAGTACCAAAACCGACACTGACCGAACATACAATTAAAATTTATGATGTGTCATGTTTCAATAATCGTAATGTGAAAAATACAATGCATAAAGCGCCCGTTTCACTTTGCGGGGATCAAAGCAACCAGCAGTGTATCTAATTGCAAAATGTATGAAATCAATAATGTGTCGTTCTACAAAAATATGTTTATATATGTTATAAAAAGTTTTGTCCGTCCTAAAGACCGTCCTAATTTAATTATGGAGTGTTTTTAAATAATGCACTGTATTCGGGTTTCAGTCATGCAACAGAGATCATTGTCCTGCTATCAGGGAACGTTTGCAACATCACCTATTGGAATATCACTCTAGCATCCCGCTCCAAGGACAGAGTCAAACGGTTTGTAATCTAAATTTGGTAATCAGACCGTTATGGGTATTTAAGCATGCGAGAACATGCCGCATTTGCCACTTTGACCGCAACGACCTACAGTATTAAACGTCGAGTACATTTTGATTGAATTTAAAGCCATGATACAGTTAAGTGGTAGGCTTAAAATGAGTAGTAGTAGATAATCTTTTTTTTCAAACTCAAAATTATTTCCATTATGAAAATGCCATGTAGTGGATGTGTCAGGTTTATTTATTTTAAGTATATTTATCCAGGCATCCTTGATCTTATTTAACATCCGAAAGAATTGTATATTATTTAATAGTATAGCTATATAATTTCAAAGAACTTGAGTTTGAGAAGATATAGATAGGAAAAATTTATAAATCAAACAATTCAAAACCACCCCATTGTAGGCTACTCCTTATCGCCTTTATAACATTAAAAGCACGTGTATCTGAATCTGGTAGAGATTTACAAATATTGTTTTTTTTTTTCAGACATTGAAATTGAGGGATCCACAACGTCGTACGTTTTTAAATATCTAAGCATTATTCGTTTTGTATATAATAGTGAATAATTTACTTACACAAAAAATTTATTTAAGTCCATATAATTTTGGTAATTCTATTTGTTAATCATAAAAATTTATGTGTTTTTCTGTCATACCTTTTATAGGGTCCGCACATCAACTCACAACTGTAGAACCACACATCCGAAAAAAGGTAATCTTGACATTTATTTTACAATATATACTGGGGAATGTAGCCTTATCTATAAAATCTTTGAATTTGAGTCTACCATGCCAATTATTTATTTTATAGGTAACAATATCTCCGAAACCTTCAATTCTGAAACGTACAGTCAATCAAAAACTTACTGAACATGAGTCTATTCAAACAATTCCATTAGAGGACCTCAAAGATACTACACAAAATAATATCATAGGACTGTTCAATAGTGACGACCATACCAACCATGATAACTTAGAAAGTACTACTGAATGTAAACCTATAAAAAACAAAATATCATTTATAAACAGACACTGTGTCATGAAAAATGACTTACAAGATGAAATCATGAAATGGTACAAAGATATACCTTTATATGCAAATGTAAGCTTATCTGTGGAGAACTTAAGACAGCAATTAATAATTGAATTCATTGAAAAGCTTTATGAACATACTAATAAAGAAAATAATGAAGACGATTATGAAAATATAATAAAAAGAGAAATCGATGACTTTCTAAATGCACTACCGATGTGGTGTCCAGGGACTAGAGAAAGTCAAGAATTGTTAAAAGATAAAATGAAAAATGATCTAATGATCTCAATTAAAAATCTACGTAGTAAACTTTATTATTTGACTGTGAGCTTTCAAACAGATGGGCCCGTAGAATCAAAGCCGTACACAATCGCTTCAAATGACTTTCAAAATGAAAACATTAATAAACAGTTTGAAAATGAAATTACTGACTGGCTCATGCAAATCAAATTTAAGGAAAGCGATGATATTGGAAAGACTATGAGTTTACTAGATACAGCAGATATTTTTTATAGAAGATTATTGCCCTTCTTAAATAAATCTGCGTGCACAAGACACCATAAACTAGTATTAAAAAGTCTTATATTAAATACCTTATATAGTTTGCCCAACATTTTTCAATATCCAAAGAATAAAAGACTTTACTTTAATCGCTTAGCAGAAGAATTAACGAATAGACTTGTGTACATTCAAGTAAAATACATGAATTCAAATAGTTGCTGTGATTATCCTAAAGACAGAAATATTATTAGAGTGACAGTTAATAGCAACTCTGATGATAAAAGATCATCATTTGAAGGTTTGGATTCTAATATCAGCAATATTAATTTCCATCCACACTCGAGTGTCTTTGAAGATGTCGCTGAAATTTTATTTGACTATATTGAATCAATTAGCTTTGAAAATGCTCAAACGAGTAATGAAGCAAATAATGATAATTCTAAGAAAATTGAAGCAATAAAAGATGCCATTGTTAGAGATGTTACAAAAGATATCTTACAAAATGCACAATATTCGAATATTGCTACCAATACGTCTTTTATTATTAGTCCAATATCAGTTTTTAAATCTGAACAAGATTTATTTGGGCAGTCAAACTTTCCTGTAACCTCTACACCAAAACGAATAAGAACTAAAAAGGAAATTATTAAACAAAATCCTGAAGAAATAGCTTACACAAAAAGCGTTTCAGAAATAGTTCAGACTTGGATGGAAACTCTTCCCAAAAATTTTAATGATGATAAAAAATTTAAAGATATCGTTATCTCAGACTTAGTGGGAGATATTGTAGATCAAATAAAAATGCAGCAATTAGTCCCCGTCGATGAATTGGATAATAATAAGTTAATGTATTATATAATATTTAGATGGCTTTACAGGTTTGATATATTTGAAGATGAGTTATCCGAAGATATTCCTCAAATCAAAGACCTTCAAAAGCAATTGAGACAAATATCAATTCCAAACTTAATAAGACCCCGACACGGAAATCGACAAATAATGGCTAATACAAAATTTAAAGAATTGGAAAACGAGTTCTTTGTCCCCTCAGGAATGGATGTTTTAGAAGATGAAATATCTATATGGATGAATGAACAACCCTCGCATATCTATTCAACAGAAGACAAAGCTGGTCGCGATTTAATGGTAAAAGAATTAGCAAAATCATTACAAAGTCATTTGGTCAAAAAAAGTGAAGAAAAAGAAATAAAGACGGACATAAATATATGGTTAAAAAAGGTCTTAAATTCATCAGCTAAAAAAGATATTGATAACCTAACAGAAACCCTTAAAAATAGAATTATTAAACTACCTCAAGATGACACATTAGCAAAGATTCTTGAAGTCAAAATACAAAGGAAGTTACAATCTGAGGCAACTCGTCTGAATCCCGTACAGGTATCAATAGCAAATGAAATTGCTGTTGCTCAACCAAATATTGATACAGATGAAACAATAAAAGAGTTTATCACAAAATATATAGAACATAACTATGATATCGATGACACTGTAGCAAGAGCAGCTTTTGGTGAATTGTTAAAAAGTGAAATTCGAAAATTAAGTCCTCCGACTAGACAAGAAGTATACGACAATTTTACTAAGCCATACGATAAACTATCTCCAGATAGACTCGATAAAGAATTGCAGTATATAAAAATTGTTTCAGACTGGCTAAAAAATATTCCAATCGAAAATTCATTTAACACTCCACATAACAAAAAACGGATTGAAATTGTTAATGATGTAGCAAGAAACATTTATGAGGTTGAAGAAGAACGAAGTCGTGCACCAACAGCTATGGATTATGAGATGTACTTAGCTTCCATCATAAGCCAGTTCACAAATATATTACCTATACCTCTTGAACATAGAGGACAAGTCATGTTTATGATTGACGAATTGATCCGTAAAGTTTTATCTGTCAGAACCCCGATAACATGTTGTTCAAATACAAATCATTTGAATTCCACGAATACCTCTGGAATTCCCGAAAACGATATATGTGAACTAATCCACAGTTACATTCATTCAAAATCTACTGAACTCTCTGATGATCAAATGAAACTTGACGCGTGGTCTGCTCGGTTGATGAAAGAAGTGAAAAAAATTGTGCAAAGTACAGCGGACCCATCGACATTGTGTAAAGCGCAAGTGTATGATAAATTGCTAGCTACACCTACACCAGGACACGAATCTGTGAGAATTTTTTCTTTAGAACTAGATTACGTAAAGGAAATATCAGATTGGTTAAAAAATTTACCTTTGCTTCCATTACAATCTCAAGAAACAAACGAAAAGAAAATAAAAATGATAATTGAACTAGCCGAAAAATTTTCTGAATGGGAGAAACGAATGTTAATAAATTCATCTGATCATCCAAACAATTTAGAAGTTAATGAGTATGTCACATCTTGGATAAGAAGGCTACCTTTAAATTCAAATAAACAACTTGATATGCCAATTTTGATATCACAGCTTTTAAAAAGAATAGAGAAAATTAATAAAGGTTCAATAGATGCTATTTTTCAGCCAAATATATCAGAAAGTTACACTTCATCGAAGAAAAGTAAATCCACATTAAATAAGAAGCGATCAAAAAATAAAAAATGTGTGTCGCCTTGCTGTAGTTCTGGTAAAGGTACAGTAGGAAAAGTTATTGTTGATGCAATAGAAAACTGGAGCAAAAATCTTCCTATCAAGAGTGATAGTAAAGATGCTGATATGAGCATTAAAGATGATATCGCTAGAAAACTATATCAGAAAATTGGTGATCTTAGTGTTGACCCCCAAGTTATAAAAGATAATGATTTATTTCAAGAACTGTTCGCAGATGAAGTCGACTTACAACTAAGCAAAATAACTCAACACCAAGACGTCCAGAAAAAGTATAATGTATTGAAAAATGAATTAATCGATAAAGTAATGGAAGGGAAAAGCATTGTTGAAGAGGCTTTTGCTGGCGAAAATTATAAGCTGCAACTAGAAAATACGATAGAATGTTCATTACCTAATCCTAAAATAAACAATAATCAATGGTACGATCCTACATTCGAAATATATAAAAACCGTTTAGCCGACAAGTTTATATTGGACAATTTCGATCATGGTAATGACGCTGTAAAAAGTAAATACGATAGAAAAATAAGAGAAGAAATAGATAAATACTTTCAGAGTGTACAAAATCGTAACGCTATACCTTTGAGCAAGGGTGAAATATATAACGAATTATATAGCGCTCTTTTCAAAGTCCCCATTCCCAATGAAGCATCCGCAATAGCAGAAGTGGAAGAAGTAAAAACTAGATGTGAGATAGATTTATGGTTTGAAGGTTTACCGCTTCGTGATGCAATAGATTTAAATGAGCTCTTAGAATGGGATAAAATATTAACGATGCTAACCAAAAGATTATATGAAATTGAAAAGTTTGATAAAGATCGTGACGATAAAATGCACAAAGAAATAGTTAAATGGGTTGTTAGATTTCCCTTACTTCAAGGTCAAGAGATTAATATTGACAAGTTCGCAAATGATTTACAAAATCGACTAAAGGTATCAAAAGAAAATAGAAGATGTGTAACTAGATTTTCGAAAGGAAAACAACTAACAAAAAATAAAAAGCCCAAGGAGTCGCCTCGAAATATAAATCAAATAGCAGGACCAAGCAATGAGGGTCAGAACTGGATCAGTCCTACTTCAAATTCACAATCACATTGTCAACTCTCTTCAGAACCTCAGAAAAAACCAACAGAACTTGTATTAGAAATTGTTGAGCAATGGTGTAATCTACTACCTCTTCCTCATGTTACTCCTCAGGATGGAATTAATAATAAAATTATAAAAGACAACTTGTTTACTCAAATTATTATAAAAATATGTACACTTAATGGTAATCCACAAACTTTTAATGATGATATATTATATGAATATTGTATGGATGGTGAACTTGAAAATTTATTGTCTAAAGTACCCATTTGTTGTAATTTTGATAATGTCAAAAATTCACTAATACCTCAATTAATAAAAGGAATCATATCAATTTTACCATTAATGAGAGAAGAAAAAGCCTGTTATGAATATAAAAATGAATTAAAAACTACCATTAATCATGTTTTACAAGAACCATTGAACACAACAGCTGAGAAAATAGCAATGTTCAATAAACTTAAAGATGAAATTATAGATAATTATGTGCAATACCATTATAATCGTGAGGATGATGATCTTAAACAAATTTATAAAGATAATCTACACGAAGTCGTGGAAAAATATTTGCAAAATATTAGAAACAAATCAGATTACTATTCAGTTAATCCATTAATGAAAGAAAATCAATTAATATGTGAATTAGCTAAAGTTCCTATACCCTGTGAAAGAGTTATTAAAGAAGAAGTAGAAGTAATCAAAATGAAAGAGGAGGTTAATAATTTCTTTGATAGTTTGGGTCTCCCAGAAGAATCAGAAGACAAAATGACTCTGAGAAATAATATTAAATTCAGTTTATCGAAGCGTCTTAATGATATAGAACAGACTAATCAAAGTAGCCAAAATGACTCGAAAATGAAAAAAGAAATTCAAAGATACTTAAAGAAAATGGATTTGGAAATTGCTCCAGAGAAAATCGATGCTTTTGTGAAGAAATTAAAAGATAATGAAGCAATAAGAAAAGCTCCCCCTGTTACCAACAAATCTATTATACAACCTTCAACAGATAAGCTACAATTAATGGCTAATTTATATGTACCAAACACAATGGAAAAGTGTAGTTTTCAAGAGTGTAGTGATGATAGACATATCTTGAGTGGTGCATCAGAATGCCGTCACATTGGAGAAGGCAGTCCTTTGAATTCTTCGCCGGTATATAATGAAACACAGCAACAGCAACTTTACAATCACATCCCGACATCAAACCCTACAGCCGATGCATCTCAAAATCAGCAACATTCATCAAGTCAATCACAAAGGCATGCACTAGGCCAGAACACCGTAAAATTCGGCCTTAATGAAGATGAAGCTGATCATGAAGCCTGCATATGTGAATTGCAAACGAATCACAAGTTTAAAAGACGACCTCGATGTATTTTCCGCCTGGAAGATTATTGTGAAGAATACTGTGACCAATTCAGACACATGTGGATGCCAATGCCTTATCGAATGCCACCTCCCGGTTATTTTTATTATTAAAAAAATCCTAACAATAAAATCATATCATAATTACATAAACATTTTTTATTTTAAATAAAATATATTATAATATTGACGCCATATCTCTTAACATAATTAGATAGAGACATGCCATCATTGCTCAGCAAGATATAATGTACTGCCTACGACTGAGTATTAAGACCTGAAATCAAAGCTTGAATCACAATTCGTGTCTTTGCTGGTGAAATATTCGCCGTTTATATTAATGTCATTTCCTATCCAATCCATGGTCTTAAAGACATTCTCCAGTGCGTTAGCGAACAGTTTCGGATAAATAACCTCATCGTCCAAGTGTGGCGACGTTGGCGTATATACCTGTACAATCTTAAAAGCGTACCTCTCAGTTAGTTCAAATACAAGGTGCGCTACTCTAATCGACACACTGGAGATCTCCAACACGTTACACGTGACAAAATAGCCTATGCCACCCTGGGATAGTTGATATCTCTCTCGAAAGTAGAAGAAAGTAGAGTCCACATTTCAATTCCTCCTCGAATTTGATCAAGCTGTTGTCAAGCCGTAATCTGTGTCTGTTATATGTAACCAAGGTCAAGATTTTGCAGCAATTCGTAGCCCGGAGCCTCTGCCACATCATAACCAAGACAGCTGCCGCGGCCTGGATTAGCGCGACGGATCAACTGGAGGCCGTGTTCTTGGTTCATTGCACAAAAATTGTTTGTATGTCGGCAGCATTTCCCCACAATAGGATTCCGTACGAAATTACACTATGAAAATAACAGAAGTATACTAATCTGGCAGTATCTATGTCAGTTAACCTACGTATTTTCATTACAGCATATGCTGCAGAGCTAAGTCTACTCGACAATGTATCAATATGTGGGCCCTACTGTAGTTTAGAATCTAATATTATTCCTAAAAATACTGTGGTATCCACAAGGCCCATGTTCTTATCTTTTATATTAACATTTATATCTACTTTTTTAACATTAGGTAGTACACATTTTAAGCATTTTGTTTTTCCTTCATTAAGAAGAAGATTATTTACATTAAACCAATGTACTACTTTAGCGATAGAATTGTTCACGTCGTCATTTAGAGGTAACCCTCTTTTAATTTTAAACAAAAGTGAAGTATTATCCGCAAAGAAAACTATTTCGTGATCATCCCTTACGAAATAAGGCAAGTCATTTATGTAAATAAAAAACAAGAAAGAACCAAGTATTGAGCCCTGCGGAACACCCATCTTAACTTTCGATCCAGGGGATCTTTTGCCATTGATATCAACCCTCTGTACTCTGTCAGTCAAGTATGAGGCTATAAAATCCAATGAGTTATCTCTAAATCCATAAAAATGCAGTTTCCTTATCAATGTTTCATGAAAAACACAATCAAATGCCTTAGATAGGTCACAGAAAACACCTAACGCATCATGTGAATCCTCCCAGGCTTAAAAAAATTCTTGTATTAACTCGACACCGGATTCGGTTGTTGAGCGACCCCTTGTAAAACCAAATTGTTGTCAATTCATAAGCTTATTCTTGTAAAAGTACGTTTGTATTTGATCCAGCATGATTTTTTCAAAAATCTTACTAAACGTAGGTAGCACGGAGGTCTAAAGTTAGTAGGGTCAGATGTGCTACCCGATTTATGTTACTATAAATAATTTAATTATATTTCATGAGCTCAGGAAAAATACCACAATAAGTACATTCATTAAATATATAAGCTAAGATTGGAGCTTTTATTTCAATTACCGATTTAGAAACTTCAATGGAATTACCCCATAAATCAGCGATTTTCTTTTTCTTTAGCTGATTAAAAGATTTTATTATATCTTTAAAATCAATGTGTTTAAACTTAAATTGGCTATTAGAATTATTTAAACTTGCCTTTAAAATAGATTCAGCAACAGTGGAAGAGGAATTCAAAGATTGTGTAATTAAGAATGGAATTTCAGTAAATAAATTTTCAAATACTGTAGCAACTTCAAGATCTGTTGTTACTTTTTTATTATCAATGTTTAAATTAAAATTTATATTCCGGGATTTTGCTCTTCCAGTTTCAGTATTTATGATATTCCACGTCATTTTAACTTTATCTTCACTATTTTTAATTTTTGCATTTAAATAATAACATTTGGCTAAATAACACACTTTTTTAAATAATTTAGAGTAATTTCGTACATATTCTTTGAAGTCCTCACTTGTGTTATAATTACGTTCATCATATAGTTCATAGAGCCTTTTTCTGCTTTTGTAGACTCCTGGTGTAGCCCATATACTAAAAGTTATAGGATTACTAATACTATTTTTTTTTGGGACAAATATCTTATTGAATTCTGTACAATAAACATCAAAGATTTTTTTTTACCAATCATTGGGATTACTATTATGTTTCAAATGATACAATTTACTATCTAATTGATTTTTAAAACGTTCCAAGCGACTCATACTTTTTGACACAACTATAATGTCTCTCCTAGCCACAAACGTACATTTATGCGGAAAGCTAACTATTTGCCCAAAATGATCTGACGGTAGTTGTTTAATTATCTGTTTTGAAAGTGGTACTAGATCTGTAAAAATGTTGTCAATACATATGGACGAAGTAGCAGTTACTCTAGTAGGCTCCTTAAACATGTGTGCAAGATTATAGGACATAAATAGATTTACAAGTCTTGTATATGAATTGGAGTTTCCTAATGAATCAACGTTAAAATCACCCCCAATCACTAATCGTTTGCCTTTGCTATATATCTTTTTTAAAGCTTCATCCATAACTGTTTCAAAAAGATCATAATGAGAAACTAAACTTGAAGGAGGTCTATATACGCTCAGAACAATCCGCTGGTCCAGCTCTATGCAGGCAATATCTATTATTTCCTCAACCGATAGGCTCACTATATCTCTACGTTCTTTAAATTTAAACTTTATATTTAATAAAATTAGTGCGCCACCACGCATTGCGTTTTTCCTAATGAACGCACTACCAACCAGGTGATTATTGAAGTTAAAAATGCAATTATAACTTGTTAACCAATGTTCCGTAATACAGAAAATATCATTATTGTTACAGTTCATGAATAATTCTACTTCTAACTCTTTACTCAACATTCCTTGAACTTTTGGTGCACTAAGTTGATGACTGATAAACTCTTGGTTCCATTATTATTTTGACTATTCAATAGCAAGCAAGAGGAATCCTCTGTTGTCTTAATATCTAATTTAAAGACGAATTTGTCGCAATGTCAGTAGGATTATTACCAGTGGTCGGAATTAGGTAGAGTTATTCATGTACTTACACTGATTTCATACAGCGAAAGAATAAAGTGGATATGCCTCAAATCCCGAGATTAATTTTAAAGAGCAGAAAAAATCCCGTGATTTTTTAAATAAAAAGTTATTTACTTTTACACAATTTAAACTACTGCACGCACGACGTTGCCAAACTTACATCAATGATATCGGATGTCCAAAGTTGCAAAATACCAATACGCGCGATGTTGCCACATTTGTAGTTCGCACAACATAGCTTGTGAGAACAAAAGAATACAATAGCGCAGATGCGGAGCACTCCTCACTTAACGTAATGTACTAGATTGTGTCTCTTTCTACCGCATTCAAACTATCTATTAGAAATGAATCGGTTTATTCATTCACTCAGCTCATTCGCTTACCTCGGTTCGTCGAATGCGCTCACTTGTTTCCTATTGTGTTTTGTGTAGTCAATCCTGTTTGACCCTGGCTCATTTACTGGATTCTGGACTCTACTTAATACGACTATTTCGGCACGCATTAACGGACTTTGATTTGGCCTTACTGTATTGGATAATTGGATATTTGAAATTGGTGATATACTTGGTAAGTTTCTTGATCATATTTTTATTAAATTTCCTTTAAAATAAATTTTCCCTATTGTGTTCTACGGCGTTTTCTTGTATTGTTATCGAAATCGGTATTGTTTAACTTAAGATGTTCTTTGATACAATCACAATAAAGTAACAATGATTTCAAATGCTACTGAAGAAGCTTAACATACGGAACTCGTTTTTTTAATTGATTGACTATATGGTTGGAGTTAGATTTCTGGTAATCTTTTATTGATTTTCTTTTTTAGCTTTAAACTTTAGTATAAAACAAAGTTCGCTTCCTGCCGTCTGTCTATCTGTATGAATTTATGCACGCTTAGATCTTTTAAACTTCGCAACTGTTGTCCCCTATCTCTCACATACTTACAAACACATTCATACGGTTTTCTAAAATTTATGATTTTTTTGCTCCAGATTAAAAGTATTATCATGGCGCAGAGTTCAATCAAAGAAGCCACCGTCAACAAGTGGATCAAAGATAATCCGGAGCTATTTTACGACCATGCAAGTGGATTAATTTACTGCTCTAAATGCGAAGCACATTTGAATGCAACTCGTCAGAGTAACGTCCAAAGACATGTAGAAGGAGCAGTATATAAAGGCACGAAGAACGAGCGCCACACTCCTTTAGAATTTTACTTCGACTTAATCGAATTTATGATTCTTTGTAACATACCATGGTCCCAACTGAGCAACAATGTATTTAAAACATTTTTCAAAAGTACATGTGTTGCAATTGCAAAAATATTGAACTACCTAGTGAATCCTTATTGAGAAAAGTTTACCTGGATCAGCTTTTTAAAATCAAAGCACAAGAGATGCAAAGAAAGATTGTAGATAAAAAGCTATGGCTTTCAGTAGACGAAACTACGGATTTCTTAGGAAGAGCTGTCGTACATTTGTTGGTGAGACCATTACAACCTAGTAGGTGCCATCAGCCTTACTTAGTGGCATGTAAAATGCTAGATACTGTAAATGGAACAACGATATCACAATTTGTTCAAGATTCTTTAAACAATATGTGGGGAAGTTCATTTGAGAGCAAACTAGATAACGTTAGAATGTTATGTACAGACAGTGTGGCATACATGATATCAACTGGTAGAATTTTAAAATCAACTTTTCCAAAAATGTTGCATTTCACTTGTTT